CTCTCACACACACACATTGCTGTCCTTGGTCTTCACACACTCCCCCTCTTCTCGTTTGCTCTCTCTCTAATCCTGTAATGCCGACAGTGCAATTAGTCACATGCCGGCTTTCTTTCATCTAGTGAGAGCAAACTCAGGAGGAATTCAAACTGCTTAGTATCTAAACTACGTAACCCACCCCATGTTCCTGGAGTAAAACACAAACAAGCACATAAGCACGTTAAAAATACCTTAAATTTAAACACCAGCCTTTCTTATTATAAAATGTCCTTCACTATGAAGTGACAGAGAAGGTGAACTATGCTGCACCGCCACTTCAGTTGCTCTCAAAAGTCCTGTCTGCTTTGCAATTCAAGAAATGAATAATGAAGCTGAAAATGAAATGGCCATTCAGCCTGAATATGAAGCAAAGCTGAGCTAAGGACATGCTGGAAGATGAATAACGGCGAGGAAACCTCTGAAAATGGTCATTGTCCCTGTAGTTTTAGCATTTTTCCGCGTCTTTACTCCGCACACTCTCATCGCCTCCTTCCCATTTTAGGGACCATACTGTATCTATCACAACCCACTCACAACAGACACTACAGATCGAAAGTACATGAAAGAGTGAGCTGTGATAGAAAGAGAAATCAACGGAACAAACGCTGAAAAAATGGCAAAACAGACACAGAAAAGCAGCCCCCGCACTCAAGTTAAACAGCCTTGTAGTGAGTGTTTTCTCTGTACTCCACAGTTAAGGTAATTTTGCAGCGCCTGAAGCCACATCCTGACAGTGAGGCAGGGAGCAGCAGAGTACGGCTGACTCTCTACATGCCAGTAAAGGAACAAATGGCTCACATTGCCGTTATATGGATGGAGGGCCCAGGGTTATCACTTTCATGCAGGTTATTCCCATATGTCAGCTAAAAATCAATCTCCATTTAATGGATAAATCCCCTCCCTGAGCCAACATCTAATATGACTGGGACCGCCGATGGATATGTTCACATTAAACACCGATTTTTAACACTTTGAAAATTGTATTTGCGTTAGTGTGTGTTAGTGGGTGTGTGGTGCGGAGAGATAAAGAAAAAAAAAAGATTTCCAGATGTTATTCAACACTGACTGATGATTTATCTGGTAGTAAACTGATTGGTTCCAGTACAGTGGTAGACAGGGTCGAACACGCTGCAGGATCCAGTTTTATTTCTTAACTTTCCACCTTCCGACAAGCTGGAATCAAATCCTGGGATCACAGGATTCAAATCCCCCCCCCCCCAACCCCCCAACCATGGTACAAGTGCAGAATGACAGCGTTAGGGATAATTTGACATTTTGGAAAATTCACTTATTCGCTTTCTTGAAAAGAGAGAGAGAGAGAGAGAGAGAGAGAGAGAGAGAGAGAGAGAGAGAGAGAGAGAGAGAGATGATACCACTCGTGTTTAGTATGCAGCTAGAGCCAGGTGGAGATTAGCTTAGTTTAGCATAACTACTGGAAGCAGTGGGAAATAGCTAGCCTGTGAAGAAAAAACACCTACTAATTGACATGGTGTACCTTGTCCGTACACAAAAATGACAGTTTTGGGGTTTTGCAACAAACTGCTGTTTGTTAAGAAATGTTAAGAATTAATTACACCACATAAATTCTTCTAGAAATCACAAATTGTTTTGATTTTTGTAAGGATTTTGTTGCAGTCAGACTAGCCGTTTCCTCCGCTTCCACTCTTGATGCTAAGATAAGCTAAGCTAATAACCTCCTGGCTCCAACTCCAGAATTAATGCACAGACTTAGGCATGATATTGATCTTCACATCTATTTCTTGGCAAGAAAGCGAATAAGCACATTTCCCAAAATGTCTAACTAAGTCTAAAACACTACCTATCCTAAGGTCTATCATTAAAGATGCATTATGTGTGTTTTTATACATCCCCGACCGCAAAATATCTATTACCTGCATCATTTTCACCGGTGCGATTGCTTTGCCAGTCAGAAATAATGATAGTGTGACTACATCAGGTGCTGTGATTCCCAGCTTTCAAAAGCTCCATTTACTTACTTCATTTTCTTTCACAAGACATTACATGCACTCACAATAACTCAGCGATGTATGAGGTTGTTACACGGAAGAGAGCAAATGCTTTCTCAAACCACAAAAGCAAAAAAAGGATGAAGTTGAAGTTCTCTTATTGCAATCAAAGATGCCGAACATGATCTATTTTCACCTTCTCAAATATGAGAATTTGCTGCTTTTCTTAGTCTCCTCTTTGGGTTTTTGACAATCAATTTGAAAATGTCAGGAAATTATGACAATTGAAACATTTTATAGACAAATCTATTATTTGATGCATTGAGAAATTAATCAGAAGATTAATCAATAATGAAAAATATAATTTTTTTGCAGTTGCAGACCCAATTAGAGATGAAACAACTACTCCTTCCTTGATGTTTTTGTTGAATCTCTACTCTAATTAGCTGGTGCACTCGCACTCCAGTGAAAATGTATTTTACGTTTCTGTCCATCACAGGCTTTGTAAACAGTGTCCGAGACCTGTTGATGCAAAGTCCTGGACGACAGATAGATGTTGACACAAGTGCAAACACTGCTTTTAATGACAGCGCATGTGGTTTAGATGAGCGAGTGTGTGTGTGTGTGTGTGTGGAAAGAAATTGAATCAGCTGCCACCTTGCTAACTAGCCAGCTGAGGCAGCCAGTATTCCTGGTGGTGCCCTGGGCCATACAGCATCCCTCTGCTTTATTCAATGCCCTCTGGCTGAAAGAAAAAAATCTAGATTCGCTAAACAGAGGAAGTTGTTTCTGAAGGCTGCTGTCTGGCAACCATTTCACACACTTCAAAAGAGGGCGTGGGAATGAAAAAAGACCAAATTGTTGCCCATGGACATGCAGCGATAAGACAGCCTCTCGCCTACATCTGAACCTTCTCATTTTTGCTCTTACTCTCACCATTGATGCTCTCCCACTCGTTTTCTCCTCTTTCTGTCACAAATACAAACATGTATCTTCTGTTCAGTATTTATTTCTCCTAGTCTCTTAATCATATGTGTGGTTACGGTAGCTGCAGCAGGGCTCACAGGTTAGGTCACCGGGCTCGAAAAAGGAACTCCACAGAGGGAAGAAGCATGGGGAAAAAGGCCGCAAGGAAAAACAATCCAATGACCACTTTTGGTCAAAAGCTGCAGCAGTCAGCACCGCGGCCTAAAATTTAATTTCCCCTAAAAGAACAGCTATCCTCTATGCCTTTGGCTGCCTATTTTTAGCATGTTATCGTTCGGCCTCAATCAGACCACAGCAGTCAAATTCAGAATGAAGACGAAGTCGCTGTCAGGCCCAAAACAGCACCGAGTTCCTCAGCAACCAGAACTGGCTGATCAAAAAATGTGTAATGTTTAATGCACAAGCTGAAGTAAGAGAATACAAGAAGGTTAGAGACAGAAGAAAAGCGGGATACACTGTCACGTACAGTTTGTGTGTGTTTTTATCCCGTGTGGCTCTGTCACATCAAGACTGTCGGCTGAGTTCATGGTTGAAATCCTAAGAAACAATGCCAGTGTTCAAGCGTGCCATGACTTCATGATAAATCAGTGTTTTCATCTTTCCGTCTAACTGTGGCGCCATCTCCAATGCTCTTTGTCCCTATAGCTGACAACTTATTTAAAGGGTCTCATTGTGAATTGCTTTGCAAAGCTCTTCACTCTGAATGCACTGCCACGTTCATGTGCTCATGTCAAACAACATCAACAACAACAACATTAGTTAGCACCAAGAAAGCAGAAAGAAATTAGATTTCTTAGCTGCCAACAAGTATTGACTGGGGGTGGACAGCAACCAGCAAATCAGTGATCTAATGACCCACTTCACGTTATGCTCTCATAGTGTTGAGCTCAGCTAGCTGCCTCTAAAGCACACCGATTTGAGTTCGTCCTCCTCCTTCCAGCTATAATCACGTTAGACCACGGGGCCTATGCTGTCTGCATCCTAAAAAAATGTTTTGGCAAAAAAAAAGACGAGAGATGGATATTTTTGGCATGATTTTAAGCTGTAAATAGACAAGATGCAGTTGCCTTGCCATTTGGAAGAGAACAGAGTGAGTGTGGGTGAATGTGTGCACAGGGCTGTAGCAAGGAATTATGGGCTCCTACGCACAGTGGGGGCCCCCTGCTCCACTTATCCACAAATACTCGATGACAAATGGACAAAGGTGAATGATCGATTGCTTCCAGTGGCCCCGATAGCTCCAGTCTTGCTGTGTGTCAGCTGGTTTGCAATTCAATTGAAAACTTGTATGGGAATATGCTCTACTAACACACATCAGATGAGATGATTAAAGCCATAAAGTGGGTCCTGTTTTATTACCCAACCTTCTTAAAGAGGGTCTTTGCATCAAAGTTTAGTTTAAAGACCTTAATTATTTCGGTTTGGTACCCAAATTAATTCCTTTTTAAGAAAATTACCATACAGCAAATGAGGGGCCGCTCAATTTTCCCCCTGGCAGGTTGAGCCGGCCCCTGCAAATATCCACAGCCATCCTCACATCCACACACCAATCTTATGTAAATCCAATCAAATCTAATAAATTAATTACATACATCACTTATTCATCAGCTGACACAAACATTGGCTCTGAAAGGAGCAGCTGGTTCACAAGAAAGCAGGTGGTAACACTGGTGACTTCTGATGGGCAATTGACATTTATTGAAGCTATTTATTGATCTAATTGTCTAAAGACAAATTAATAGTTAGTTGCAGTCCTAATATCGATACTTTAATCTAAATTTTGGCTCGCTCCACTTTGTTTCACTTGCGGATTTAATACTTTTTCTGACATGTGTCTTTAAAGCAGAGTTTAAAACAAATATAAATACAAAAACACACTTGACCTGAGACTTTAAAGCCCCTATAGCTCAGTTTAGGGCCCCCTGGGTACCCACACAGAGTCTATGGACTGGATGCCAAAGGAGACACCTTGCTTTCCCTTTTTGTTCTCCACCACAGCGCACTCACCTCTCCTCCATGGCCATCAAAGACCCCAAATATAGACGGGTGGCTCTTGTTGACGATGTCCATGAGCACCTCGAACCTGTCCTCCATGTGGTCTCGCCGGCCTTGGATGGAGTACACGGCCACGTTGTTGCTCTTGAACTCCCAGGTCTTGGAGAAATCCTGGTCCAGGACGTCCAGCCCGCCGAACCTCTCGTTCTGCATCATCTCCGCCACTTTCCCCTTGACCATCTTGACCGCATCCCGGCTGGACTTGACGATGGTCTTCACTTCGTCCGTGTGGAAGAAGTAACTCCACAGAGCCAGGCTGATACACAGCAGGAACAAAGTCTCCGGTCTGAGCAGAAAATAACGCATGATCCGACCTAACAGAGACAGCAGGGTCATTGTATCCTCTATCATTTATTTATTTACACGCAGGGAATCGCGGCAGGTTGTGTGTCGGTGGCGCCCGCCGCAGATTTCAGTCCATCGTCGTTGGCGTGAGTTGCTTGGCAGCGGCGAAACGGGCGCATTTAACCGAGCGTTTCACACCGGGACACATTAAACTCAACAAAAAAGAGGTTTCATTGCATTTTTTTAACCGGACTCACCAGACAGGAGGTACGCGTACGTATACACACACACACAGACATACATACACAGACACAAACACACAGCCCGAGGCGGGAGAGAGGTGGGCAAACACGTTTTCTCCGACTGGTTCAACCGCTTCTCATCCCCGGCTCGTCAGCCGTTGGTTCCCTCTTTTTTTGTAGCACGCAGCCCCCGCAGTGAGCCACCAACGGCTGTCCGTTGACCATCCGACGGGGTCCGAGAAAGGCACCGACTCCCCCGGAGAGAAAAGCGCAGGTCGCAACCCCCCCACACACACCTCCTGTTTCCACTTCAAATGTGAGCCAGTGTTGTTGGCTAGAGTGGAGCTTGTGGGCTGAGTCTCTTCCTGGCCAGCCCCGCTAGTGTTCCCAGTCCCCTGAAAATAGCAGTCTATGTTAGAAACCCTCACATTCCCAGCTGCCACACTGCCTGCGACTCTCCGCTGGTGCCTGACTGAGTGCTGCTGCCTTCAGGTGCAGCTCGTAATAAGGAGCGAGTTGCTGACCACAGAATAAACCTTAAGGCGTTTGATTAAAAAGTTAAATATGGTGAAAACATGATGTTACAATTCATTTTTTTTAGGTATTCCGTTATGATTCCAGATTATTATTATTATCATTTTTGCGTCACACATTTAATTTTCACTATAAAAACTATTAAAAATCACAATGATGTGACATTTATTGGGATCTGTACCAAACATCTCGAGAACAACTTTTGTAGTCCAGGGCATCTCTGCAGCACTACAGTTCTTTATATAATGCTTTATAATGCTGTTTGTCACACATTAACTTTATCAAAACATTGCAGCATCTGCGATTTGCACATTGCTCTTAGCCATTGCGATTTCAATAATATTTTGATTAATTGTGCAGCCCTACATTATTTTGTGTTTTGTGTTTAAATCAGTTTTAAATTTAAAATGTCAGTGCACTCACAAATAAGCCTATATTGTTGGAGTTAGCATAGTAATATTAATATTTTTCCAGGCAAAATCAAAACAATCAAACTGATGTCAATGCGGTTCATTGTGTTTCACAGTTTCATATAACATGAGACCTTAAATGTCAAACAAAAAATGTAACTCTAAATAGCAGCTTCCACAGTAGCTATAAGTTATTTGAGTACAGAAATGTGAAAGGAAACTTTGTTTGCATAGCATGTTTCAAACAGACAGGCAATTCAAAGGGCTTAAGAAATGCATTAGCACAACAGTTAAAATGCAATTAAAGCCTAATTAAAATAGAATAAAATTAGGTTTAAATCAAGAAAACATAGAGATAGAATACAGTTATTGAATGATAAGATCATATCATCAGTATATTCACTGAAATTTGATAAAATTACTGAATTATCACCCAACCCTTCCCACAAGGATGACTGGCTGTTACAATAAGATAGCTGAAGCAGTGAAAATAGACTGACTGCATCTTTACATATTGTAGATTAATTTGATCACTAAAACACTGCGCCATAGCTCTTGAACTGACCCAAAAATATCTAAATTCCCCAACTAAATTGAATTGATTTCAGTTAGTATCCAGTTAGTTCTACAGAAGCACTAAAACAATATTTAAATAAAAAAGACCATAAAAAGACCATAACACATTTACCATTTTCAGCACGGCTTTCATGCACACTGTTCACATCTTGGTAGCGAAAGCATTCACAGGGTTCCTGTCATTGTTAATTTACTAGCTCACTTAAAGTATGATTGTAAATGTTCGCTCGTTTTGAATTTAGATATTTCCGACAGCACGTGAAGGCGTCCAGAGAGCTGTCACACCACAGGTGTTCCCAAAGACCGTAAATTGATTAATTATATAGATGTTAAAACACGTGGGGCCTAACTTTGTTAATTTAACTAACAACTGACAAAATCAGACTCATAAAGTAGATTAACTGGATTAGGAACTGCCCAGGGACCCCAGGCACAAAAGGGTCCCACAAGCCCCTGGTGGCAATAGATTTTTGATTGGGGGGGGGGGGGGGGGTGAATTATTACCTGATCTTGCGACCATGTCTTGAGGAGGGTCCTTGTGTAAAAATCTAGTCTTAAGACCCTCATTATTTTCAGCTGGCTTTGTGCATACATGGTACATATTCCACAATACTACAAACTGTGTGTTATCAAAACACCACACAGCCAACCTGGGGTCATATCATACTCCAGCATAAGTGTACTACCTGTTGCACAGAGTGAGAGGAACAGAGGGGTAAATAGCAGTTCATTTTGGCCCCATATGGCCGTAGTTAGAGGGGAAATAAATGCAATTCTGCATGCAGGTGTTGTTTATGAATGTTGAGGTTACCAGGTCTGTTATTTGAATTGTGAGCGGGACATAAAAATTCAAACACTCCTGAAGCAAATATACTTAAAAAATAAATGCTAGACTGTCCTTGCTATAATATTATTGCTGAAATTATTTTCAAATAGGTCCAGACAGCGAGTTTAATAAAAAAAACCTAAATAAATAGAAAGGCTACATGCACATATGGAATCCTACTTAATTATTTTTCTGTCCAAGTCAAGATCTGATATCGTCTAACATGGTATACATTTCTCATAAAATATTTTCCTAATAAGTTATTCATTCACTTTGCTGACCTTTAGCCTAATACATTTTGTATGACATATCCATATTATATTCTAGCTGTCAGTGGCAGGGCAGAATTTCATATCGAAATAGGACATAATAAAGATAGTCCTCACTTTTGGGGCTAGCTAATACACGCATTTAACGCCAATAATATTTTTAATTGGACTTTTGTTTGCCTCTTTAGTTAATTTGAACGCTTTTAAAGGACATTTATTCAGGCAGACAAAGACAGGCCCGGGGTCCTTGAGTCCCGCATGACGTCACCAAGCCTCCCTCGCTCCTCGGTGGGGAAAACGTGGAGAGCGTCACTTCACTTCGCGGTGTGTTGTGGATTTCCCGTCAAAAATAACTTCAGTACGTTTTGTCACGGCTCGTTTGTGCCGGCTGTAGTTGTCGTTGACTGTTTGTTGAGACTGTGTGTTTGTTTCTCTGCGAATATCCGGTAGAATCACTCATCAAAACCGGCAATTTAGCCTCTTAATGCTAACTGTCTGATACTGAGTGTGCAGCATCAGCTAGCAGCGTTGACTACAGAGCATGTACTGCATAGTTTCTGTGATCTGGAAGTCTGGAAATAAGTGCACATAACGAGGAGGCCATATTTTCCATATTTACCTGTGTTTAGTTGTGAGTTTAGCTGCTATTTGCTACACAGTGATGGCGACTGTCGAAGCTGTGCTAAAGCTGTGACAAGGCCAGTTAAATGTTAAAGTCTGTCATGTTTCTCTCCTCAGACCTCGTTGGAGCTACACCAAGATCCACTGACATACACTGAGCTGTTGAGGTGACAAGGATGGAGTACATGCAAGCTCCAGCCACAAGCAGCCAGGGGAATATGTGAGTGAAAAACAATTTAAATAAAGTTATTTATGTCTTTTAAATATGTAGTATTGTGTGAGTCCTGATTCACTAGAGGCCTTTCTCATGACTGACATTTTGACATAAAAGACATGTCTGTAAGTATTAACATTCATTGCTCTGTTTAAGTGTACCACACCAATAAGCAGGCACTCTCAAAGGCAGGGAAACAAAATAATGGTATTATTTATGAGATATTAGTGTTGCCTGTGTTTTCTAAATCAAAATCTTCACAATGAGAAAAGTTTATCACAACTTTGCTTTATTGACAGATGTATTAAATATTTCCTTTCCTCTGTCGTGGCAGATTATGTCAGTTCAGAATATGAATCAATTTGGATTAACTGGACATCTGGTAATCTATCATAGTAAAACATTTGTAGGTGATCTTTGTTTTTCAAGGTTGCATATCACATCCATGTAATACAGTTGAAAGAACTTAGTATTGGAAAATTCAAAAAATACACAATATGGCACAAAACCATGAGCTGTTACAAAATATGTTATCTTTTCATTAGGACTTTCTAGTCCATTGCCAGTTCCCATCTCCACAACATTGTGTGAATATGTCCCCAGTCTGGAGGATAAAGGGTCACATTTATTTCAAAGCTCTGTAACACAGCAACTAGGAGGAGGTTCAACTGTTCTCAAGCACAATGTTAGTGTAGATTTGACGAAGCCAGAGACAAATCTTCATTCTGATGAATCATAAGCTGATGTAAAATCTAACTAATAGGCTCTTATTATCTTATTATATCTCTTAGTGTCTCATCATATTTCTATTTTCCATTTTTATTTTTACTTTTTACTATAATTATATACATTCATTTATATTCTCTATATTGTGTTAGATATTATAAGTACTATTTATGTAATGTTGTATCAGTAGAACAACTGTAACAAACAAAATTCCACCCGGGGATCAATAAAAGTATTTCTGATTCTCGTCCCTAGCCTGTGCTGTACCTGTGGCGTCCCCATTCCTCCCAACCCAGCCAACATGTGTGTGGCCTGCCTGCGTACTCAGGTAGACATCTCAGAGGGAATCCCCAAGCAAGTCACAGTGCACTTCTGCAAGCAGTGCGAAAGGTTTGTTACATGCACAAAGCAATCATACGTTTATCTTACAGTGTGGTACACAGATTGCATCATTGTTTCCCTCCAGAAAACATTCACAGGTAAATTCTGTTGGGGAAAGTTGAGGCTTGAATGTATATCTTATCTTTCATGCAGGTACTTGCAGCCTCCAGCCTCCTGGGTGCAGTGTGCCCTGGAGTCCAGGGAACTGCTGGCCCTTTGCCTGAAAAAAATCAAGAGCTCTATGACCAAAGTAAGTGTGATTTATACTGAACAAAACACAATAGCATATTTACACTCAGACACAAAAGGTGTACATGAACATCGCAGGTATAAATTCTAGCATGTCCCCTCTTAAATTTGGATGTCATGATTTAGATTTTGATGTTAAACTGCTTGTTTCAGTCCCATCTTGTTATTGTGCCCAATTATTTTTATTATATTTGTATTTTAATTTTCAAAAAGAATACCTAGTCAGTTGTGAAGGAATTAATTTCAGTACATTTCTTTGAATTTCATTAATTCATTAATTACATTACCATCATATTGTGTCCACCCAATATATCTAATTTGTCATGATAATGTGCGCCATGTTCACTAGAATAATTGTGAATACTCAGTCGAGTGCTATTTCATGGATTCAACAACACCTCTCTCTTTACAGGTGCGTCTCATTGATGCCGGCTTCCTGTGGACAGAGCCACACTCAAAAAGGATTAAGATGAAAGTGACCATCCAGAAAGAGGTAAGAACAGTGTTAAGAAGGGGGGGGGGGTCAGAGACCTTCAGATGGGCAACGTTTTTTTTATTTTTTTATCTAAAGGTTATCTGCGTTATTGTTTCAGGTAGTAATTGGCAGTTAGCACAGTTTATGTTTTAAATTCAAGCTTTTTGTTTAACACGTTAAGATAATAATGTCAATGTGTAACACACACATCAAAAGACTATTAAATAACATTGAGATAATCATGTATGGAACAGACTTCAAGATTAACTTAAAAGAGAGTCGTCTGTTCCTGAATGAGTTATGTGTGTTTGAGAGAAGTGAGGTTTGCCAGCGGCTGTCATCTCATCTCCTTGACCTTTAGTGAGAACCTGAGCCCTGTGTTTCTCAGGGCCACCTCTTTTGTTTGTGCCAATGGAGGGTCTCCAGATCCCACTGTTCAAATATATCTAAAAGGGAAACTTGTTTTTATTTAATTTATTTCTCCCAGAAGTGAATGACTGAGTTCAGAGTTTTTGTTGCTGTTTTGTCCTGCAGTTAGAGCACATGGTGTAACTTGTTGCTGTCTTTACATCTCCAGGTGATGAATGGCGCTATCTTACAGCAGGTGTTTGTGGTCGAGTTTGTCATCCAGTACCAGATGTGTGACGACTGCCACCGTGTGGAAGCCAAGGACTTCTGGAAGGCCGTGGTTCAAGTTAGGCAGAAGGTAGGAGTCTGTGCTTTAATCAAATAACCTAAAAATAAATTGTTTTATTCTCATTTAGTTATCTGCTGTTTTATTTGACCTGAACTCACATTATATTTCCACAGCTTATTAGTTAAGATTCAACAGTTCAACTGTTTCACCAATAAAGGTTTGGTGAGGTTTAGGCACAAAAAACAACCTAATTAGGATATGTTTATGAATTGTTACGTATACTCTATAGATGTTCTGTTTGTCTACAGACAAAGCAAATGTTACAAATACTAATCTAATAGTGTTACGCATATTCAACCCTTTAAAAATATTTGTAGATATACTTTGCATACATGCTTTATGCTTAATTTTAGAAAGTATGTATGGATTAGTTGAAACATGAATAATATGTAATGTAATAATAATTTGATTGTCTTAAACCTGCATTCTATGAAATGGCCACAGGGGGCAGCCTGATTGGCTGCAATAACACACTGATACCATACAGTCTTATGGAGAAATTACCTGACTTCTCACACGATTTATTAACTCAGGAAACAGTTTCCTAATCAGTTTATGGTCTCAGTCGCTAGTTTTAAGTCTTCTTCCATACAGCATAATGTTCATTTAGCAAATCATGGTCCCATTAAGAGTAAAACAGACAATAGCAGGGTATGCTTTAGGGCGGGGCTAGGATAGTTTTTCCTCTGCACTCGCAAGGAGAGGGTGAAGCGAGGGAGTTGCAGTCTGCAACTATACCACTAGATGCTATAATACAATCCTACCCTAGTGTGGTTCCTTTAATTTTTCCATTTGTGTACTCGGTTTATGCTTTCTTTTCACATTCCAGTTATTTTGTGTTAATTTAGCAACTGCGTGTTAAAACCTGAACTCTGTCTCTGTAGGTTTTATGTAAAACAAAATTGGAGCTCTATGTATTTGGCAGGAAATAAAACACTAAATCCCAGGGTTGCACTTTTTCCTTTTTATCACTGATGTGTGGGGGTAAGCCGAGCATAGCTGCAATGCTACACAGATGGTAGCCAATGGAGATTAGATGATTGCTCAGAAACAGGGAAGTTCAGTCCAGTTGTAGAGTAAAAGGAGATATATGTATGAAGTTCTGTATGATCATGATACAGAAATCTATTTTCTTACAGACCGTTCATAAAAAGACATTCTACTATCTAGAGCAGCTGATCCTCAAGCATAAACTCCACCAGAATGCCCTCAACATCAAAGAAATCCATGGTAGGTTAATTTCCTTTTTATATAAAATGTTTCCATGTCTGCTAGTATAGATATCTTTGAATGGAGGGGCCTGCTATCTTCCTTACACCCTCTAACTGAATTACACTGAAAAGCGGGAAACTTGTCATTCCTCACCAGCGTAACTAATGTGGATTAGAACTAAGCAGAACATAATGAGGTGTCAAGTGTTAATTACCTCTTCCTGTACTAGACAACAAGCCATGCATGCGTATCACTGGCGCCAATCAGTCCATACAGCTGTCCTCGCGTGGGCCTCAGTGGGGCATGCGTTGGGCATCTAATCAGTGTGGTGTAATCAGAGCAGGCATTCCACACCAGATTCCTGCAATGCAAGCTTGATTTATACCCTATTTAGAGATGCTAACTGTTACATCACACACACAGGCATCCACACTCTTAGGCACACATGCTGTGCAATGAGTGACAGCTCAGCAGCAGCTCTCTCTGCTCTTGGACAGGACTGTGATGAGGAGTTTTGGCTGAGATGTGTAATTTAAATCATCTCCACATCTCGGCGGGACTTAAAAGCTTTACGAAGGTTACAACATGTGGCCGCCATATTTTCTCCCATCTTCATCTGCTCTCGTGTGTGTGCGTGTACATGTTGTTTGCATGCATATGTGTTCTGCAATGGTGATGACCCGTGAAGTGCGTCTGTGATGAATTTATTGGTGGAGGGTTTGATGGTGTTACTCTTCTCTCTCAGACGGGATCGATTTCTACTATGGCTCCAAGCAGCACGCACAGAAGATGGTCGACTTCCTCCAGTGCACTGTGCCCTGCAGGTGAGCAACGCCTCAGATTGTGCCTAATGAAATCATCGTCTGATGAGACTCACTAGTAGAACAACCTTCCCCTTTTTATTTAACTGATTATGACCGCTTATTTTCAGAGGTTGTTTTCATCCAACAATCCAGAAGGTTATGAGAAAATGTGTCAATGTCACACAAGAATAATTTGCCTTAGTAAACAAATGCAAGAACAGATAATATAGCCTTCTTCCTTTTTTTTTTTTTTTTTTAAAACACATTATTGTGCTTCTATCAAAATGGCTGTAGAAGACAGTATGTTGACATGACCTTCAACAGTTAAGATGTGTTAGACGACACAATGTGTGGTGAACATCTTGTTGGCCCTTTTTATTGTTATGGTTTTGTCTGGGACAGTGTAAACTCTGTGCTGTGTCTCTGAATGATGTCGGCGATAATAATATACATTTTGTTTTCCATTTTAAAGGTCAAAGACATCCCAGCGCCTGATCTCTCATGACATCCATTCAAACACGTACAACTATAAGAGCACCTTCTCTATGGAGATCGTACCCGTCTGCAAGGTATACAGCAATGTGTTTTATTTATTTTTAATTTCTAGTTCGATTTTTGAGTTCACTGAGCTGAGAGACACCCCTATTTGCTCCTCGCCTCAAACAAACCAGAGCTGTCATATTTCTTTACACATCGCCTCTGAAGCCATTACTTTGTTAGTTTAGTAAAAAATAATATGCAGATGGGAACCTGAGGCTGGCCAAGAATCTTTAACATTATATTTTGTTTTTTGGATAGCTGCAGGTTATTGATAATGGTAAATTAAATATACTTTAACATTAAAACTAAGGTTGGGGGTTTAGATTGTTGACAGGTGTGTATTCATCATTTTCAATAGTTGCTTAATCCCATTTGACATTTAGCTTTTAGTTCTGTGCATAAAAATGGCAACAAATACATTTGAGTGTATTTTCATTGCATGTTTGAATAATAGGGGTCATACAGGGTATTTTTAATAAATGGAAACAGGAATCTGAATGATGCTTTTGTTTGTTTTGGCATCAACAGCTCAATTTTATTATTGTGTTAAACAACAAGGGCTTTCTTTTGAGAAACAAGCTTTCGGACGCATCAAGAACTTGTCAAGTCCAAAGTCTTTTTACTTTCCCTTGTACCTCAGTTTGACCCCAGGTTGTGTGGTTTTGTCTGGTTTTCAGGACAACGTAGTGTGCCTTTCACCACGGCTGGCTCAGAGCCTGGGGAACATGGGTCAAGTGTGTGTGTGCGTCCGTGTCACCAGCACCATCCACCTCATCGATCCCAACACCCTGCAGAGTGAGTATCTCTACCGCCTGAATCCTGCTGAGTTTTAACAGGTCCAACTGACACCACAGACCAATTTAACTACAATGTACCCTGTTGTGGTTAAATATAGCTGCCGTCTGGTGTTTCTGGTTATCGTCAGCTGAGTCGTAGTTTGAATCACTACACACATTAATTCAGTAATGTGAGCTCTATGTACAGGCAAAGCTTTTCATGCTCTCTAATAATGCGGACTTTAGCCCAAGATTGAGCTCAGCGCCAAATGTTTGAACACATTGAAGGGGGGCAGACATTCTTATAAACTCGTCTCATTGTTGCTTGTAGAAAACAAAATCTTAATTAGAAAAATTTAATTAGACTAATACTGAATCAATTAGAATAAAAATTATTCAACAACAATTCTGATATTTGATCATTTATTTTATTTAAAAAATGAAATATCCAAGACATTCTTTGGTTCCAGCTCCTTGCATGTGAGTATCTGGTGCTTTTTTCTGTTTTAAATCATTGTTAATTGAATTTGAAGGCATTGCCGTGGAGATTATTACTATTTTATTTCCATTTGACCTTAAATAATCATTATTTGATGCCCTAAGTTAGACTGCTGGCTTCACTGGGGCGTGTATGTGAATGGTTACTTGTCTCTATGCGTCAGCCCTATGATGAACTGGTGACCTGTCCAGGTTGTACCCCACCTCTTGTCCAATATCCGCTGCAGTGGGCTCCAGCCCTTGCGACCCTGCAAAGGAAAAGTGGTTGGAGATAATGGATGGATGACTTCATTAGACAAATGCTGCAAATCCAAACATTTTTTCTTTATATTTTTGCCTGATAAATTACTTACATCATTTAAATGATTATCTTAATAGTTCCCATTAATCTTCTGCTGATTGCCTAATGGACTATTGGTTTGACCCCTAAACTTCATTGCAGTCGAGGTGTATTTTAGGATTTAAAATGTGGTAATCACGGCTACAAGTTTAGAATTTTTATGCGTTTGTGTTTTTTATATTTTAATTTAAAAAAAAGCTCAAAAGCATTCTTCTATATTACCATGGAGATTCAATGCTTGGATGAAATCCTTCACTGCTGCACTAATCTGACCCCAGTCTGCTTGCCACATGTTCATCACAGCTGTTTTAACTCAACAGCTTCCCTCTGCTCCCAGTCACGACACAGCACAAGACACACTCACAAAAGGTTTTTAAAAAAAGAACATACTTTTAGTTTGCATTATGCATGCTGTCACAGCAAAGTTGTCTTATTTGAAAGGATTTATAATCAATAAGAGTATGGTGACAATTAGTGATGATGTTTTTCAGTTCAGTATGTGAAAGGCTTCAACAGAATTCTGACATTTTGGAAGCAGCACACACGTTTTTAATTACTCTTCAAAGAGCAGGCTATTTTTGTTGCACAAAGTTTTTCAGCAGGCTGAATAGCAGAAACCGCCTTGAGGCAGAGCTCTGTTGGGCAGATTTGGTATAGGCAATTACCTCCGGCATTAAAAATATCTGTGTTGCTGTTTGTCTGCTTGTGTTCAGTTTCCTTGCACTTTCGACAGAAACCTGTTCTGTCTGCTTTATTTGGAATATATGCAGATGGAAAAACACAATGACAGAGAAATCAGATTTATATTCCTTTTACATAAAGGAATTTAGAATATGTTGAAGTTTGAGTCGTCAGAAATATTAAACAAACATGCCAAGACTTCTTGAAAAGTTGATTGTGTTAGTGGATGATTAGTCTCATTTTTCAAGTTTGTTAACTGCCAAGTAAAAATGACAAAGTACTATATAATTGGTGCTCATGTTTTTGGCTGTCAGCTCCAATGACTAGTCTTATCAGAGGAGAAATGTCACTAATAAATGCATAAATAATCTCTAACACACTAGTTGCTGAGGTGGATGGGAACACATACTGGCGCAACCCCTTCAACAGTCTCTGTAACCCACGGCAACTGGAAGAGTTCATCGTTATGGACACTGACGTCATCAGAGACCAGAAGCTGGGTGCTGGAGCCGGCATGAGGTCCAATAAGGTGAGTGTGTGTGTGTGTGTGTTTGTTTGTGTGTGTTGTTTCAGAACAGATTGCATTATGAGGGAACATTGCTTTTCTTTTGGAAGCAAAATCAATAGCGAACCATTACATTATCCCTGAGCCTGTATGTGGGATTCAAGCCAAAACGACAGTAACACACAGGAGTGTTTGTTTCGATGGCGCAGGGAATGAGGTTTGTACGGACCATGTTCGCCCTCTCTTTCCTCTGTCTGAATGTTGTATTAGTATCGATACAACTGTCGGAACAATTTGGAGGAAAAGAGCAAGAGTAATTGTTTGAAACTACATTTATATTCTCTGTGTGTGTGTGTGTGTGTGTGTGTGTGTGTGTGTGTGTGTGTGTGTGTGTGTGTGTGTGTGTGTGTTACAGCACACCCTGGCTGAGGTGTGGGTTCAGAAAACATCAGAGATGAACACCAGTCAGCAGTATCACTGCCGTACATTCCTGGGCCACCTGCTCAACATCGGAGACCTGGTGCTGGGGTGAGTATGAGGTTATTGAGTTATTATCAGATGTTGGTAGTAAAGATTGATGGCAGGCTGTGAGCTTTAGGTTTAATGGCACATTTCTCACCGTACAGGTTTGACTTTGCCAATTCTAACGTCAACGATGAATACCTGAATAAGATGAATCCTCACCACGTTCCTGATGTGGTAAGACTCACCTGCACAGTAAATCCTCAGTGAATAAACCTGGTCCTCTTGTCGACTTGATTAACACTGACCTCTGGTGGCAAGATAAAATACTGACTGTACATTTGATCATTTTCTTGGAAAAATAATCATTTTTAGTGCAGGGCGATATTCTAGATGAACCGGTATGCTGATTTTAATTTCCTGTACCGGTGCATAGCTGAAACAACTGCTGTAACTCATTTGTTTCTAGAACATTTGAAAAACCTTTGAATACCGAAATAAGTTGAGTATTTTATGTTGGGTTATAGTGTTTATATACAAATATTTTAAAGTATTTTGTTTTGCTAAGGAAGAAATGTTAAAGTTGTTGGCATATCTTTTATTTTTAAGTTCTGTCTTGACTATGATGGAATTTGCAGGATAAAAATTGTTTACATTCTGTGTTATTCATATATTGTATCATTTTGTAGGGTCAAGAAAACCCTAAAGTAATCAAAGCTTTCAGTATGTACATGATGACATTAAATGTTTTATATTGTACTTTATACTCCTGAAAGTAGAATAAGTCACTGTAGCACTATAGCATCACATGAGAAAGGTATGTAGCCAATCTGTGTATTAATTAACAACCCTGAATGTGGCCTCTCTAAGGTGCTGATCAAGAAGAGCTATGACCGCAACAGGAGGGCGAAGCGCAGGAACTGGAAACTGCAGGAGATGGACAAAGACCGCGAGGGCATGGATACGGATGATGAGAGGTAGGAGCTGAGTTTCTGAATTCAAACCTCAAGGATTTGCCCTCACAGTCAGAGCCTGTCATTTTCTAAAATGCTGCTCGGTTTGCATCTCTGATGTTTAACTCGTCATCTTTAAAGGATGAAACTAGTGATATTCTATATTTTTGGTTATTTTAAAAGGCTCAAAACAACAATGCACTGGTCTCTGAATTCCCCACCCTGTCTGCAGCATTCAGACCCCCCTATTCCTGCTTGAAACGTAAATCTAAAAGTCAGGAATGTATACTTTGCAAAAAGGCTAATTAATCTACTAAAACATCTTGGCACTGAAGTTTTTAGCAAACATTTGTCAAACAGGAGTAATGGAGCATTTGTTGGGATCTATTTTCAAATGTGCAATATATATTTAGTTTTCTAGAGAATTACAGTTGCAGAACTGTTTTTGACTCCATTTAAAAACATGTCACTCAGACAGTGTGGCCCATTCATGTGGTTTTTGGACAGCACTGGAGCTCTATGGCACAGAGCAATAAGAAAAACCTAAACCAACAAGTTTCATCTGCAAGTGCTTTTTGAGGCTGTGAGGAAAATTTGTTTTCTGCCAAGTAAATGAGGGAAAACACTTAAGATACCTGATGTGATGACTAAAGACATGGCATTGTTTTGGTTATTAAGTGAATAGGCTGAAAATGTGCCAATATCCTGTGCATATATTTTTCCCTGTATTTTTGTACCACATGGGTTTTCCTTTAACTTGCTTTTCTGTCTTCAGACAATACCAGGACTTCCTGGAGGACCTGGAGGAGGATGAGGCTCTGAGGAAGAATGTTAACATCTACAGAGGTGAGCAGCTGCACACAGCAGCAACGGCATACCCAGATTTCCGCCCTGAAATCTGAGATGTTTGTTTCCATTGTTGCAGCTCAACTTACGACTCATTTACTGTCGATGCTAATAGATCTAGTATCACGTCCTTTGTTGTAAGTGATGTATCGGATAGGTAATGAATAGAGGTTGATTTTCTAATTTCAGATGCGTCAAAGATCCCAGTGGAGAGCGACACCGATGATGACGGAGCACCACGTATCTCCCTGGTGGAGATGCTGGAGGAGCTCAGCCTAACTGATGCCACAGGAGAAGAGGGCGCTGACATGATGACAGACTAGGCGGTTGCCATCCTGCCTTTGTGACGCTGACAGCTGATCTGTCAAATACAACACTGAGCTGAGGCCTCCCATTTTGAACTGACAGCATGTTGAGGACGGATCCAACAAATAATGTGTTATACTGAACAAAATCCACAGCTCATCAGACTGTGGTGTAATGACTCATTACAGTTAAAACCCATAAACTGTGGGTTATAATGGTGCCACATAGTAACAAATACAGTTCTGCTGAGAGACTTTCAGTTGTTTAAACTGATCATTCACCTCATCTTCACAGTGGGCCTACAACATTTAGATTTTCAGCTATTTGTAAAATGCTCTTTCCCCCTTTTCATTTAAAATTTGAAGTGATGTGGAAACGAGAGTGCTACTAGTTCACTATATATCAAAATAAATATTTGTCCTAATGAACACTTTTCATTTATATTTTTCTGATATTAGCCTTGTCCCAAATCCATACTACATACTGATTATATACAATATGTACTACATACTGATTGTCATAGAAAACGCATCAAAATGTTTTTTCCTAAGATAATAATACTTATTTTTGTTTTGCGTGATTTATTTGCCCTTTCACTACCATCCACAGTTTATTTAAAGGTTTTACCAGCTGTGAGCAGCTCCTACTTTGTGCCCTGTGGGAGTGGCACCGTATTTAGTACTGTCTGTACTGTGTCACTTTTCTAGTGGGAAGACAGTACATACTCAAAACCTGCTGAGAATCAGCATGTAGCACAAAATTGGGACAGTATTCTTTCAAGTACTTTTATGTACAAATCCACCAGAGGGAGCTTTGGACTACTTAGAGAAGGGAGGTAATGCATTCAAATAACCTAACTAGCTGGGCCAAGCCTGTTAATGGTGTTATTTGGCTGCCATGCACAATATTCAGACACTCATCCAGCTGCACCACCTTTTCAGCTGTCTGTGCTCTGATATTGGCTGAAGCTGGACATACAATTCAGGATCAAGGCTGCACTGAATTACATTGATGTCCTCATATCTGGAGTGATGTACCACCAATCAGAGAAAAGGCTTCTGTGTAAACAGCTCTTATGAACCATAGATGCACACATACACAGATTGAAGCTTCACATCAGTGCTAGTCCACTCTGTATCTGCAAAATAATACGTTTACCATTTGAATACTTTGCACCAAGAAATGCCCTTCAAAACAAATTATCTTGCACATAAGCTGTCAAATTAGGGGCTTTTCAATTAGTAACGTTATTCATTGATGGTAATAAGTAAAGCAATAATTATCTAAAATCTTTCAGATGTTATGCAGATTTTATGTTGTTTGATGCTCTGGTAGCAGTTTAGTATGTAATCCTAACACTTCATGTTTTGTGCTCATGGAAGGATTAAAACAAAACAACATATTGAAAGCACAACATAAAAGTCTACATATTAGAAAAGGAAAACAAACTGATCAGGAAGTCGCTGCATCTGTTTAAACCAGAATGGAATGTGCCTGTGGTGGTACCTGAAACAGGTGGAGGGCACCTTGTGTTCCTCAGTTTGCCTTAAAAATGATTTAAAAGTGCTTAAAATGCCTCCAAACATCTGCATTTATCATGATCCCTGATGATTTTGGGGGTTCATCATCTTTTGTCAACCAGGTGCGTTGCATGGCTGTGCAGACCTACTGATATGAAGCTTTATGTAATCTAAGACACCAGAGGAATGTGTCTATTTCAGCGTGTATTAGTCTGTGTGACATGTCTCACATTCTAACATGAAGAGGGAGGAGGAGGAGGCCCAGTCTTGTTTTTCACAAACCTGAGCTGAGTCGTTAACAGTAATCAGATCTACTTGGGAAAGTGAATGAGTTGAATTCCCTCTGGGGGTTTGTATGTGTGGGGGGAGTGTGGGTGGGAGCAACAACAATGTAGAGCAGGGGTTCTCCTCTTCTTCTGATCACCCTCCTGTTGACCTGATTTTCTCATCATCTTTGCATGTGCACAAACTGAACCCAAATGCTTTACCTCTATTAACCCCTTTTACCCAGTTTCTAGTATTACGGCCTCACCGTCACAGTAAAAGAAGACCAATGGCATGTTGTTGGAGCTTTGATTCACATCAGCACATGAGCTATTAAAACCAAAAGAGACTTGTTGTGTAATTTAAATACTGATTTGCTAAATACTGGTAGCGTAGCAGATCAGGACAGTTCATGTAAGGACAGCAACTGATATTTATATTAAACATTAAACTTCTGCAAGGGGGGTTTCTTTATGCAATATGTCTGGCATTTGAAACCAGTTCCCATACTTGTGATGCTAACAAAATTGCAGTGTCCATGCGTAACCGGTGCGCCACTGCGCCACGGCGGCACTGGCTGTGTTTACATATCAATAATGTATAGTGTTGTCAAGTGCAAGAACTGAGCAGGTCAGCAACCCTTGTGCAGATAGGAGATAAGATTTCCTAGCTGTATGCCTGATTTCCCCAAAACAAAAGGGACAACTTCTCAGCTTATACTTGGATTTCTATTGTCAGCGGGGACTTTAAAGAGAAGACAGGGCTAAATTAATACTTTTCTGAATATACGTTTTGTACCTGAGTGTGAATGATATTAGGCTTTTCGTGGATTTCCAAGACCAACGCAGTCAATCTCTGTGGTTGGTGCGTAATACGTTTACGCATTCAGCCCCTGACCAGTCACACACCTCAGTCAGTTCTCTGTTCCTGTATTTAATATAGCAGTATCCTTCATCATACATAATCATGTACCTGCCGCCAAAATACCGAAACGCAAAATCTACATTTATTAACACCAAAGATCAGAGACGAATGTGACATTATTTTGTTTCACATTTTCTCCGAAAGTCTCCGAAATTACTTTAAATACTCCGGTCCTATAAATGCTGCATGTACTAATATAATCTATATGGAAACAGCAAAATAGTCTTATCACGTAAGTGGATCCAGCTTTAGTCTTTATTGATCACAAAAGAGGGGATAAATAGAGGCAGGAGTCTTAGTCGAAGGTTTAGCAACGTTATAGACAAACAAACACAGGCTGCAGCTGAATATTAAGATCCTGTCAGTATGTGATTTAATACTTGCTTTCCGTATAACAGCCATGATAAACTACAGCATCCTTACACTGCGGTACAGGCGCATACCGGTGTGCTGTCTGTGCTGTCTCTGCTTCTCTCCCCGTCCTGCTGCTGCTGCTGCTGCTGCTGCCTACGTCAGAGGTACTGCGGTGGCGCAGCGTCGGGCTGCAGCAGCATGGAGGTGGGACGGGTGCGCAGAGGAAGGATGCGACACGGGCTGAAGAAAGTTTAAAGATGCTGCACAAAGCATCGGACTTAACGTGGCTGAATTAGACCTTCAACCGAGAGAAAGACTCCTCCTGTGTCTCCGATGCGAGGACTGGTTTCTTTTCTTTTTTGGGTCTGCGTAAACGCGCACACACCGGCCTGTGCGTTACAGTGCTCGGTCTCTGCACCTGCATGATCTGTGAGCCAGGTGAGCCGTGAGCGTAAGCACGAGCAGTGTGGGTGTGGTGTCATTCTCATAGTCTGTATGACCTACTACATATAGGCCAGTGGCAAAGTAGTGAGGCAGCTTTTCGTTTACACAAAGCAGCGGAGCGGCAGCGGGACGCGGGCTGTTGTCTGTAGCTCGTCCTGTAATTATCTCCGTCAGTTGTAGATATCCAGGGGATCTCACGGCGGCTGCTCAGGTGAGTCAATATATGGATTCAGTTATACACAATACAGAGCTGATATATCCCCTCTAATATTCTATTAAAAATCTCAATTAACTGGAGGAATAATGATGAAGTGTATCATTACTGCTCATTATATATTGGTATCTTCAACAGAAGGAATAACTTTTGCTTACTCTAAAGTTATTCTGCAGTTTTGTGGGCCAAAGCTGTTAACTGAAGTATTTATGAAGACATTTTGATTTTTGATGAAGGTGCCATCCTAGTTCTGATTAAAGAGTGCTGGTATTGACAGAAGGCTGCAGAAATGCGCTTTATTTGTAACTACATTGGAACAGTCCTACTATAGTTTTTATATTAAGGAAGTTCATTTGCTTAAATCCTGCAGACAGTAGCTGCCCTGTATTGAAAAAGCAAGTAGGCGACCCTGTTTTTCATATTCCCCCTTTTAAAAGCATATTCTAGAAATCCAGGTGAGTACACCTGCACTTGCAGCGCACCTGTTGGCCCCGCCCCCGACCCGTGTAGCAGGATCTGTTAACGCCTGCGGCTATGTTAACCTTACCCCAGACATAAATGACAAACACCACAACATGCAAAGAAAGCTTCAATTTATGTAAAAAGTTAAAGTGCATGTTTTGGCTTTTGCTGTGTGTTCTGGGGGTGGAAAACAGCTGCTCATTACCCTCCTCATGTAGCATAAAGTTATTTGTACGTGTCCCATGTGTGTGGGAACACGTGTGTATGTGTGTCAAGTGTGGGGAAAAGTGTGGAAAGAAAATAATAGAGGACTTTTTTTTAATGTACATGTGTGACCCCCTGGGTTTAATTTCATTGGTGTTTCTCTACCCACACAACTGAATCCTAAAAGACTCTGAGCTCCCATGAGGCCTACTTGATTGCCCCCTCAGGTCTCTGCTGTGGGTATGGACAGGCTAGAGGAGTGCTCCTAATTCCCTTCCATACCTCCTAATTAATAAATGCACAGCCACAAGGAATATTGGTTATTTTCCATTGTGGTTACGCAGTTGTCCCCATGGATAATGGTTTAGTATTTATGATTGAAAAGTAGGAATATTATGTTATTATGACACAATGAGTGTTACATAATAATCTTTTTTACATAGTGGGGTGTTTTCCTCGTTGGATTAAACTACCCAATAGTATATAAAGTTGTACAAAGTAGTTTTACTTTGATCAACATAAAATGCTGCGTACACAGTAATGCATCAGTAATGACAATCCAATAATATAATCCAATACTGACAGGGCTGGTCTTATTTGTAATATTTGGAGTACAAAGTGTACTGTAGTGTTTTTACAATGAGGTACTGCTTCTGCGTCCTCTGTGTACTAATAGGAGTTAACTTTTTTACTTTTTTACAACCCTTTTAAATTCTTGTAATTATCTTCTTCCAATCCTCTCTCTATGTTTTTACTCTCTTCACATCCTCCCTCACACCACCTCTTCATTACGGCTTGAATCTCACAACACTCCACCTCCATTTCCCTTCCGTCCAGCTTGCAAGATGAACTTCAAGAACTTTACGGAGTACCTGGCCTGGCTGTACTACCAGTACCTGCTCATCACTGGCATCTATGTCCTGGAGCCCTGGGAAAAGTCCATCTTCAACTCCATCCTCTTCTCCGCCATTGCCATGGTGATCTACACCTCATATGTCTTTGTGCCCATCCACGTGCGCCTTGCACTGGAGTTTTTCTCTGGGATCTTTGGTGGCCAGCCTGAGAGCACCATGGCACTCATGAACTAAAAGATGGGGAGAATATGGGGGGGGGGAGGCAAAGACTGTGTGGATTAGCATGCGTCCCAAAATCATTTCCTATAACTCAGCTCCTTCTCAGCTCCTGGAGTACCTCTTTACACCATCCCGAACCACAGAGGTCAGTCACATCAGCTAATCAAGACTATGATATGAAATATGAAGATCTTAATGAAATGATCTGGAAATCAGAGCCTTACTATCTTCTTTACATCCCAAATCCTCTGGCCTTACCCCATGGTATTAGACACACGACTGTACATTACTTTCACACCCTAGCTGTGAAACGTCGTGTGAAATGTTGTTTGTCCTGTTTGTTATTTGTTGTATTTTTCCTCCATGTCCTGTGTGAGTGCATACCACCTACGGGTTTTGCATGATAGGGTCATATGTGGGTTGTACATTTGCATGCTCATCTCACTACAAAATACAGCTAGACTCTTTTTTTTTAATCATGACTTTTATGCATCTGTCTTCAAAGGGGCAATACAGTGATTTTAGTCTGTCACTTCCATAAAATTTAAGGACTTCTTATAGACTATTAAAAACAGAGTGGTCATAATCAAAGCAGCAGAGGCTGAGTTATCTGGACTTTTAGTCTCAAAATCCGAAACCTTAAAACAATCGATCCTACATTTCCCATAATATAATTTAATAGGGTCTTTTGGTAGACTCTCCCTTGTTAACACCTAGTTAATACAAAATCTTTCAAGCCTCTCTGCTAAAATTGTGTAGCCCATGTTGAAACAGCACTGATGACATTATCTGGGTTATTTCTCAGACTTTGACTGTTTCCAAAATCTGTATTTACTATATAGTACACTATATTTACACCCTGCTATGTTTTATAGTGCCCTCAAAAGTTACAATAAAAAAGGAAAAGGAACTTCCTGCAAATAATCCCATAATGCAAATCATCACATTTTATGGATGTGAAAATTAGAGTTGTGTCTCACTCTACAGCTGTCAGTGATGATGCAAAATTATTTGTGAATGTCTCTCTAAGCTTACTACAGAGTAAACTATTGAGTATTTACTATAGTAGTAGTGAATGAATGAACGAGGCAGTGATTTAAAGCTGCCTTCACAGCCACAGAAGACATTTTACAACTCACAGGCTGGAGTTTGACTCTCTGTGACGAGTAAACTAAACTTCAAAATCAGTAGACTGCTCCTTTATGTATGTGTGTGTCCGTGTTTAACTGCTGCATCTGAAATGCCACGTTATCAATGAGATTGAATTGCTCTCTGGTAAAAGGGGAGTTGGTACTCACCCTAACATTTCTGACATGCAGTTATTGTTATTGGTTGATCTATCGTTTTGTATCAGAACCACTATCACCTTCTTTTGTTCCCTTTATGCACTGTAATGCTAACTGGCAGGGTACATTGCACATTTCAAGTCACTGTGTAGCTTATCTAGAAAGAAAGAGTTGATAGAAAAGCCCAGATGAATCTAAAAGTGTCCATTGAGGGACCTGTTACACAGTTGAGTAATGTTTGTCCCAGGGCTACACATTTACTAATTTACTGGTCAAAGCGAATAACAGAACAAAATAACGGAAAAATGTGTGCCGAGCCCTCTCTTTATCTCCTGTTTTTTAACTGGTTGGTATGTCAGGAAGGTGTGCTCAGCACTGAACATGAGCAAATATTGATACAACACACCTTTGTGTTTTAGGCTTGGCTCTGTTAATGACATAGCGTTACTTAATCAGCAGCCTCTGAACTAAAAGCTGAACTGTTTGCTGTCAAAATGTAAAGACACTGCAGACAAATTGGCCTGAATGAAAAGCAAAGCCTGACTGGCAGACCGAAAACACAGTCTTCCTCACCTATAGTTGATCTATAGAGAATGAGTCGTATAGTGTATCAGGTAGTTGTGATGAGCATTGCATTGAGTTGTGTGCTTAAGATCATCTTTGATTATTTGCGCTTTGGGTCAAGGGTTCGCTGATTACAGTCTAATCATGATCTCTAAGTTAACTTTATTTATATGGAGTTATATATTTATATACTATACACTGGTAAATGCTTGGCTGGTTACAATGTCAGTTACCAAACCTCTTTGATTATTTATATCTGTGTTCTCTTGTGGCCATAAGTAACACATAATTGTCCTTTGTTTCTCCACCGGAAAATGCTTTTATATTGTTCCCAGTTTGGGTCATTTCATTTAAGTTTTGTTAAACATTTCCTTTTCCAAGAATGAGCTCTCTGAGAAGCTTTTTTCACTGTTTCACCAAATTTAATGTTATATTTATACATGATAGCAACACATCACTGCACTATTCAGAAAATAAAGGCATGTGAAGATATTTGGACAACTGTTCTCTTTCTCATCCTAGTTTGCTTTTTGATATGAATGTCTGTGTATTCATGCAGCATATCAAGTCTATTATGCCCTCAGTCAAGCAGACTTTGAAATGGAAGAACAAGCAAAACAAAGGCTCATGGGAAGCACATACCTGACACAATTGACTGTACCACATAAAGTGAAATCAAACAATAAGAGGCTGAGCCACCAAACCAGTTCTCCCCAGTCAGTGCAGGAATGAATACCCAACGGCTTTGCTTTCCCCACTGCAGATACTAGGTAGCCTGTCCATGCCAACAAAGCTCTGTTTACCTGAAGTCTACCATGTCCACACTCTTTGTCAGAACACACACAATTCAAATCAATGTAATGGACCATAAGCAAAAACAGTTTAAGAAAGTTGCTGGTACAGTTGTGTAAAGTTAATTTGTACTCCACATGCAAATTTCCTGCAATATTATCAACATGGATGTTGGATGAGGGAGCAGGAAATTATTTTGGTTATCAGTATAGCTGCAGAAGAGGGACTGGCCAGGTAACTATGTTTACGCATTGTAACTGGACGCCTCCATCTTGTTGTTCATCTTGTTGTTTTTTTTCGTCCAGGAACACAATAGTTGCAAAACCCTCACTTCTCAACATGCACACCCAAGCTCATCCCAGAATACTACTGAACTCTCCTCCCCTCGCCTCTTGTCTCCTCTCCTCTCCTTTACCTCACTTTCCCTCCTTTCCACTCATAAAAAAGCGTCATACTTATGACATCCTACGTAGTAACGTTTTGTCTGCCTCAAGGTCTGTCTTCTGTTTACACTTAACATGATCATTTGTATCCCATGAAGGAAGAGGCCAGAGGTTATCTCCATAATGACAAGGTGTAAACAAAGCTATCTGCAAATTTAAACGCTCTCAAAACACGCTCTCAAGCGGTGGTGTATTGTTTCTGTTGTGTCTACATGTGACGGTTTCTCACAAATAAAACTTGGGGGGAGGGGGGCTCCTAGCAACTGTTGAGTTTACAGACAGAGAGGTACGTGACATCGGGAAAAACACACACGTTTACACGCCAACACTGCCACCACAGCTGGTTTCAGTTTACAAGGAAACCCCAGAAAGTGTTCAAATATTAATATCATTGCCAACATTTGATAACTTCTTCCACTTTGGTCTCTATCCCAACACACACACACACACACACACACACACACACACACACAAACACACAGTTCTACGATTAACAGCCTTTGGAAACAAGTGCTATTGTTGAGCTCTGCCCTCGTACAGGTGTGTGTGCCATTACAATGAATGTCTCCATGGTAATAACCTAAGACTACTGTTTAGCCACAATCTATGGCACACATTTGGACACACACACACACACACACACACACACACACACACACACACACACACACACACACACACACACAAACACACAGAGTACAGATACAAGTAAAATGGTATCACAGCTTGCACATGATCTTTGAATTAACTTTGTGATGATTTACTGACATTCACTGATTAACACACGGCTGGTTACTTTTGTATTTATTACACATAATGTTCTCTCCTGGGCACTAGCAAAACAGAATATGCTTATTTTTTATAACAGATTTTTCCCTTACTAAAATTAATATTATGTACTTTTATGTACAATTATGTACTGTACTGCACCATATAACAACAAATATGTAACTGCATTGTTCAGAAAATACAGCATTTAAAAAGTTAATTGTTCTCATGTTTTCTCTTTCTTTATTTATCTCACTTTGTTTCCTGTTTGGTATAAGTATAAGTACAGACACTACTCCTACTTCTATCATTGTTTGTAGGAAATATGTTCAGAGATGCCAAACAAAATAAAAATATCTGAGTAATAAATCAGAAATGCAGTGTGAATGTAGTCTTATATTCCGTGTCTTCCAATCCCCCTAAATGTTACACACTGGACCTTTTAATTAAAAAAAAAAAAAGAGTTTACTACAAAATCACTATATTTTAAAGGCATCAGATGAATTTTACATTGTTTTATATGACCAAACAACCTGAATGTTTTCCAGTTTACTGTGACTCATTTTTGTGATTCATTGTGAAACCAAAATTTGGAACGATTGTGCCATTTTTGAATCACTTGTGTATTAATCTGTAACATAAAGAAAACAGGACAGACACTACCCTGCTATTACAATGTATTATTGTGTCATTTAACAGGCTTGGTTTGAGTGAACATTGTTTGCACTCTGGGTGTGTGTGTGTGTGTGTGTGTGTGTGTGTGTGTGTGTGTGTGTGTCTGTCTGTCTTTGTGTGTCTCTCTCTGTCTGTGTTTTGCGTGGGGGCTTGGTTAAACACACGGAAGAGGTTTCCAAAAAGTCACATTCATACTAAGCAGACGTTGTTACAGATATATAAATCAATTATATTGATTGTAATAAAATCACAGCAAAATCCAGGAATACAGCTTCTGTACTTTGTTCATTTTTCTTCTTTCATAGCTGGATTTGATTAGAGCAAACAACAGGCATAGATTAGATACATAATATATTAGATTAAACATGGCTCAAGTGGTAACATGATTTGTGAATATAATCACAACCACAAAAAAGATCAGGCACAGGATCACATTATTGTTGCCTGAGGGTAAATTCCCTTGTTGTTTAATGTGTACTCCACGTCAACACCAGATTTATTTCCAGCCTGATCTCTGTGCAATCAGACAGGGTTTGTTCTGTGGCATTTAGAAGGATTGTGCAATTATTGCCATTCTTTGTTGATCAAAGATTGAGGAGGAATTCATCTCATGATGACACAGCTCCCAGCTCTGCCGTATATATCTGAGTTATGAATCAGTCAATATGAGCCTAGGAGTGGCCGGCCTGATAAAAACCTGAGCCAGGCACAGCTGGAGCCAATCCCTGACGTGGTCGAAGGACTTTCATTACAAAAATAACAAAAACATGTTGTTCTTAATTTAGTTCATAGTAAAAGTTGGTGAAGAGCAGCTTAATAAAGAGACTGGCTTGTTCTCTTAAATATACTTTATCATCACCACCTGCATGTTGTAAATTATAAAGGCTCAAGTAAGACATAATATGACCTGATATATATTGTGAACATTCATTAAATGCATTTTTGTTTGGGTCTGATCAGGTTTCTTAACAATTACACTAAACAACCAAAAGTCTGTAACTATAAGGATCCCTTTGGTTTTACTTAAAACACAAGCCTGCCACCAGGTGGTCGAGGAGAGAAATAATTTTTGCTCAGTTTAGTACAGATGTGACGACAACAATTAAATGATTTTCACAAGTAAAACTATCACAAGTACTAATTAATCTGGTTCACATGGTTGAGTGTGGTGCTGTATATTTGTTGAAAAGAGGGAAATGTGTGCAAGGTGCTGGGAAGGAATATTTGCCAGTGTACCATAAATCTTAGTGTGAAACACACAAAGGAGGGAGTGAGAGTTTTGTAATTTCTTTTTCACTTGATATCAAACCTGTCTGATCTTCACAGGTACATGGTGTCTGTTAGGTGAGTTACACCTGATCACTGGCAAGCAAATTGTACATATAATCAGTACGGAAATTAAAGAAAAAAGATTTCTGTTTATTTTATAATTCTTTTTAGGTGTGTTTAGTGATTTAGGGGTACTATGTATAAGGGCAATTGGTGTAGTAAGTATGGGACCTTTAGGTATAAGGTAGGAAAGATACAATGCGGCTGCAGACGGACGAGGAAAAGGAGAAAAGAAGGCGAGAGGGAACAACCCCAACCTCACATTTAGCATTGACCTATGTAGGTTGTTCCTGTTCCCTTGAGACACAACTCATGACCTCAAAGCACTCTGGGAGCTTGCAGGATCCATTTGTTTCTTTCTTCTGTCCAACCACCAAACTGAACCGACAGACCAGCAGTCCTGTGCATTAAGTTTACTACCAAAGGAAATAAGCCATACTGTGGTGTCTGCTTGCAGTGACTTAATTTCCTGCATTGTATTTAAAGACTAATGTAACATCAGGCTGAAAAGCTGTGTTTTACAGCCCTTTTCAAATCTGTTGGGTATAGCCAGAAGTCTGCATTATTGCATCAGTGCCCACACCTAAAAACAGTGATCTCACTACTGACACTGACACACCAGAACACTTGAACATCACTACTGGACATAAGCAAAACAACATTTTGAACTTTTGTCACGTTGCTCTTTAAAGAGTTAATTTCTGTTTTTTAACAGGTTCTTTTTAAAATGAATCTTATTTAATATATACATTTTGACAGCACCAGAACAACCACCCCAGTTTGGTGTCAAATGCTGCAAGGCATTTTTTAGGTTTACGTAAAGGCAGACAACAGTACAACTGCTTGTTGTAGCCTTATATTTAATGGTCGGATAAGAGAGTGGTATTAATCTTCTCATCTAACTCAGAGTAAGCATCTAGCATGTCCAAGTAACCTAAGGTAGAATTCAATCAACAATGAAATACAAATGCATTAGAAACCAATCCCTAACATCAGAGAGGCTTGTCAGAGAAGGTGTGGCAGGAGAGAGTGTTTTTGTACTCTGTCTGACTACATGAGATGTGTCTTCACTGCCAGCGGATCCCTTGCCAAAGTCATTATCTGCTAATTCTGCAGGATCTAGATTTTCTTTGATAAGATCCCACAGTAAAGAACAAAATCTGTCTATGTCCTAATTAGTACTGGTACAGCAGGGGAGTAATCATACAGAGAGTGACTGGTCTCTGTGTTGGTTACTAAACAAGTCTATGTTATTGTCTCATTCTCACCCTCTCTAACTCACTCTGTACACATTCACTGCAGCTTCAAGCTCTCCTTTACATGAATAGGGTTAATGTAAGGCAATACACCTCCATCCATCCAAGTCATCTTTGGTCCTCTCTCTGCTCGGCTGCACCTGTTGAGTAAGTTAACTCTTCCTTATCCCTCCTCGCTCTATAGTCTGTGAGGATGGAGGCTGAGGGCAGGGCCGGTGCCAGTGTTAAATGAACGGACAGGTGAGCGGCGCCTAGGTCCTCTGTGGCCAGCTGGGCACTGTAAGCTGACCGCTGCTGTTGTGTGTGGTCTGAATGGAGCTGAGAGACGATGGGGTTGAGGTCGGGCATGGAGAACCCCAGAGGAACCCCTCTCTCTCTCTCAAGGCTCAGGTGCATATCTTATACTCCATCTGTTTCTCTTTAATGAAGGGGCAAGTCAGGGACACTTCACCTGAGCTGCTGGGAAGAAGAGCATGTAAATGGAGGTGAGTTGATCAAGAAAAGTGTACGTTTGAGGGTAAAAATGGTTTAAATAAACACAATCTTCTCCTATTTAGTAGCTCTCTCCTCATCCCTCCATCCCACCATCTCTGTTTCCCAAATTTCATTTCCCTTCTTCCTGCTCACTCATAGCTGGTCATAGATCCCTCTGAGGACGTGAGGTCTTTGACAATTGAGGCATGTCCACTGCTCAAGCATTCATTGGCGAGAGTTTCGACTAGACAGCTACCAGAAAATCACTTTTCTACAAAAACCAGATGCTATCTTGTTACACCATAAGAATGAATCATTGTCCAGCCACACAGTATGAATCATAGTTAGCAAATGTAGCTCCCAGCAGTCTCGGGGGCTTGTGTGCAGAAAGTCGGTCACAGTGATCAGGCAAGCATTGCAACTGCACTGATTTGAGGGAGATTAACTGTTTCCTTTGACAAACAGCTCAGGTTTAGCAACTGTTGAGTGAGGAGATTATCAGTGCTCTTTAGGCTAAAGCTTTCTTCTGGATGTTTACCAAGTACCAGTAGATTGTAAATTCTGAGCTCCCTGTGCTGTGCACCAATTTCCAGATAATTTGTTTTTGTTTTTTGGAGGGACTTTTATTGGCTTTTTAATGGAAAATGCAGCTGAAGAGTGGCAGAAAAGGGAGGGAGAGAGAGAAGATGGCACATAGCATGTCAGATTTGAACCTTGGGCCACTCAGCCTTGGTACATAGGGCGCCAGCACTACCAGGTGAGCTATCTGGGCACCCCTGTTTCCAGATCATTTTAACTTAAGTGCTGCAGATATTGTCTTCTATGTACTTTCAGACAATAAACTTGCAACAGGGGCACTACACACGTAAAAGATCTGTGAAAACAGTTTGCACCTTCTTGCTTGCAGCTACATGCAGAATACTGTCCAACCCTACGATTGAAAAAAGGCTGTTGTAGTGCCCTGGCCTCTGTCATAGAACCCTCTTTGCTTGGCTTTGTCCAGCGTAAGAGCCTGGGTAGTAGGTTGGGTGTTGGAGGAATGCCTCCCGTATCGGGTGACCCATTGCCCCACGGCCTTTGCTCCTCGCCTAGCTCGCAGTGAGGGAGTGCTCCTGGTCGGCGCTGTATCCCATGTCACAAAAGCACCTTTCTACACAACAGAGGTACAGAGTATGTTCCACAGCACAGTGGTTCTCCTTGGGTCGGCTCCAGCCCGCCATAGTTGGATTTCAGACCTCCCCCTGTGCTTCCAGCAAACACCCTCATTGGTGGGGATGTTCTTTCGCCCAAGCCTGGCAGAGATATCAGAGAGACCTGGAGCTCCTGGTGCTGCCAAGCGACCGCTAGAGAGGATAAATGACCATACCACTTATGCATAACTGGGTGAGTCTTTTCAATTTTGTTAAATTATACATTTTGCACAGACAGTTGAATGTCAGCATGATGAGTAACCTATTAAAATTATTAGTTTATGTTTAAAGAATGACATATCTGAGTTAAGGACTTTGCTGGACATCAACAATGTGCCACTATTACTCAAGAAGATGCATGTTTTCATTGCAGTTAAACACTGTAGCAGCTGCATTTACAGATAAACAACAATAAAATCAGCTTCAGATGGTCAAACTGCAGACTTATTGAGTCACAGTAGCACATGACTGAAGAACAACGTAGCTCCAACCTGAAATTGGCAATGTGGAAAATATACAAGTGGAAATAGAGAAAAAGAGAGAGAATGGTAAAAACAATATTGAGATTGACAGAAGATGAGAGAGAGCATCACTGGTTGCTACTGAGTGATTTGCAACGGTAAACTTTTATCCTTTAAAGTAGATGGAAAAGGAAATTAGTGCAGACAAACAGAAGAAAAGTCTCATGTATAAACTCATCTGTTCTCAGATCCCAGTCAACCATGAGGATTATCTCCTGTCAGTCGACCCTTCTGGCTGTAGTTGTAGTTACACTCACTGTGGTGTCCTTCGCTGAAGCTAAAACTACACAGAAGCCAAAGTATCAGTACACCAAGAAGCCCGTCCCTCAGATCACCGTTCACAACCCTGTGACCACCAGCATGCCCAAGACTCACAAGATAGTGCCGAGCGCAAAACCTGTGGCGCCCCATCCGCTGCCCATCACAGAGAGGACCACCTATCCGAGCCACGTCTTTCCACAGTACTACACAGAGAGCCCTGAGGCCCCCGGTGTTGGCCCAGAGAACTACACCCTAGATTATAATGAGTGTTACTTTAACTTCTGTGAGTGCTGTCCACCTGAGAGAGGCCCCAGGGGGCCAAAGGGAGACAGAGGCCTGGCAGGTATTAGACTCAATGATAAAGTGCAATGAAAAGAATACTTTTGATTTTATTAATGAATTTAATTAGTTTGTCTCAGCATTTTGAACTTAACCTCTTGTTGCTTATCTAGGGCCGCCAGGTGAAAGAGGCTTTACAGGGCCAGCTGGTTTACCTGGACAACCTGGACTGAGTGGTCCTATGGGGTTGAAAGGAGATAAAGGTAAATATAATGTGATTAATATGTATATATTATATGCATATGTAAAATTGCTTATCACAAAATATTTTATTATCATATATATATATATATATATATATAAGAATGCATAATGTACATATAGTATATTACAAGGGTGTATCATCAGACAATGTACATGGAGCCCAATAAACTTAGAAACGCACAGTACATCAGTAAGTGGATTCAGAGCGGTTCAAAGGCTTTTAATGAGCTGACAGTAGTGTTCTCAGTCACCAGTGAGAGGAGCTCCACAGCTATAAACTACTGATTTGGTCAGTGACGATGGGGATTCAGTGTCTGTTCCCTTTAAAAATGTGTTAATGTATCCACTAAACAACACTAGCATATGCCATGTATTCTTATTAAATATACCACTCTTCTTCACTAGTACTAGTTTAACAAAAATAAATATTCATATTGCTTATGTTGGATATTGTTAAAAGAATATTAGCTTTATTATTGTTAGCTGAATATTAGCTTTATTATGTCTTAGGGGAGAAAGGTGACAGAGGAGGCAGTGGGACAGCTGGGTCACCAGGAGTCCCAGGGAAACCAGGACAAAAAGGTACAAACTTATTCAGGTGATGGTTGGATTCTTTTATATTGTTCAGACTTCAGACTTCAGACTTCAGTGGTTCTGACACCATTTCCCTAACCTTGCAGGTGATGTTGGCTCAAAAGGGGAGAAAGGTGAAATAGGTTTGCAAGGTGTCAAAGGTGGTATTGGGGAGAAAGGGGAACCTGGCCAGAATGGGACTGCTGGTGAGAAAGGAGAACCGGGAAAAGAGGGGCCAGCTGGACCTCCAGGAGTGGCTGTTGAATTAGGTCCTAAGGGGGATAAGGGGGATAAGGGGGAGTGTGGCATATTTGGGGAGAGAGGACAGAAAGGTGAGCGAGGGGATTCCGGGCCTCCTGGCATCCCAGGAGCAATGGGCATTCCAGGAATAAATGGAAAACATGGTGCCCCAGGTCCTATGGGCGTCCGAGGGGATCCGGGCCCTACTGGACAACAAGGAGAACCAGGGGTTAGAGGATCTCAGGGACCACAAGGCATAAGAGGGGTGATGGGGCCAAAAGGGGACAGAGGTTACCCTGGGATGAGAGGTGAGCGCGGCTTTCGTGGATTCAAAGGAGCTAAAGGATCAGGGGTTCCCCAGAAACGCTCAGCCTTCAGTGTAGGTATCTCTCCGAGAAAGTCCTTCCCTCCTTCTGGCTTCCCTATCCGCTTCGACAAAGTCTTCTACAACGAAGATAACCACTTCAATGTCACTTCCAACAGCTTCACATGCGTCCACGCTGGGGTTTACGTCTTCTCCTTCCACATCACTGTACGCAATCAGCCTCTGCGAGCCACACTGGTGGTGAACGGGTCCCGACGGGTAAGGACACGGGACTCTCTGTACGGTCAAGACATCGACCAAGCGTCCACTCTGGTGGTGCTGCGACTGGCGGTGGGTGATCAGGTGTGGATGGAGACGTTCAGAGACTGGAATGGGGCGTATGCCAGCAGTGAGGATGACAGCATCTTCTCTGGATTCCTGCTTTACTCAGACAACGCTTGATACTCTACTGAAAACATCTTCTTCTACTGGACTGTTCCAACTTGACTATATCTGTGAAAAGGCCATATACTGGTGTTGCTACTACACTATAATCCTCACTTAAGAACAGCTCGAAAGCTGTATTACTCACTGGTCTGAAAATGTAAAGGTCCAATGTGTAGGATTTAGCAACATCTAGTGGTGTAGTTGTAGATTGCAACTCACTTGCTTCCCCTTCCCTTTCCAAGCAAGAAGGTGAATCTACGGGGTCGCGAAAGCGAATGGCCTTATTAAGAGCCTGTGTTTAGTTTGTCCGTTCTGGGCTACTGTAGAAGAATCGTGGTTCAACATGGTGATGGCCATGAAAGGCAACCCGTAGTGTCTGTAGATAAAAAAAAAATTCTCATTCTAATACCCACAAATATTATATTAAATTTCTGCCAATAGAGCTTCCTAAATGTTACACACTGGACCTTTAAAGTACCGGCAACACTAAAATCATGTTTATTGTATTATCACTGTACTAGTATCTCCTTATTTTACTTGTTGCCTTGTGAATAAAAATGAAAAAAATGTGCACACACTGTTTTGCTTACTGCTAATTTACATATTTAATCCACACAACCTTCGTCAGGTATATGAAAACGCATCACAATTGTTTTTTTGCTCTATAAATACATGCAGGATAAATTATCCAGTCCACATGAGGTAAAGTGAAGAGAGAAAAAAAAAATCACACTATGAAAAGATTAAAATATCTAAAAGGAAGTGCCAATATTAATCATAAATGGAAATCTTACAATGTCATCATACTTAGAGCACTATAACAACATCCATAACAACCAAAAACATCAAAACTAAGTGCTCTGTGTACGATACAATTACAAGATTTCAAATGTATGATGAAAGTTGGATAAATGTACATATATGAAACTGTTGTGATGCTTGTCCTTAACACTATACACCAAAACGCTGTTGATAAATACACCAGCAAGCAAAGTGAGACAGTGTGTAAGAGTTTTTGTTAGTTTTATTTAGATTGTGTTTCCCACTCTCTTCAAGCCCCACAGTGTTCCTGAACAATATACTTTACCTGAAGTATTTATTGATCGTCTACCTGCAGTGTTGCCCTCAGTAAAATGCTTTGTTCCTCCAGTCTTCCTCCTCTTCACTGTTGTCTTTGTTGCACCCTGACCTCTGCTTCCTGTCCATCTACACTGTTACTGATGGCCTGATCTAATCTTCTCATTGCAAAAAACACCAACATATATGATGTATGTGTTAAGTATATAAAGAATATCACTGTGACCTGTAACTATATTACTATTCTTACTATAAATCCACTGCCCATGTTATTATACCAATACTTCTCATATGTAAGCAGTATTGCTGTACAATAGGGTTGTAAAAAGAGTGTTCATTGAAAATAAAATCCAGTAGTATATATCATTTAAGGAATACTTTATTTGCTTTAACCAATGTGGCATCAGTTATTATCACCAACACTATGAATTCAGTTAGTTTTGTACAGATGAGAACATGAAGTTAATACTTGGTAATCTTTAACATTAATATTACACAGTTAATCATATACAAAGTGTGCACTAGCAGCACAATAGCCTTGTGCATATGATTGATATTAGATAACTATAGATCAGTCGCCATTATTCTGATTAACTTGACACAATGGGACAGTCACTGGAGAGTCAAATATTTTCCGGTTTTCCCTCTGATGTCCTCCAGCTGCTCTCTGCCTTTACAAATCTGATTACGCACACTGAGACACTATTCTCGCCACTGAGATTTGTAAATAGTTAAACTGATGGCCCCATACCAGACATATCAACAGATTCCATGGATAAATTGTTAGTTTCTGTCATAAGAGTTTGAGACTGGGCTGTAGATTGCAGAGAGCTTGGCATGGACTGTGAAGGCTTCAGCAGAGGACCTGAGGTTTGGGTTAGGCCTTGATCAGGAGTTGGAATTGCAGTAGACCAGTGAGAGGAGGGCTGGGCTGCTTGAGGCACCCCAGTGGGAGCTAAAGACAATAGCTCTCTGTGAGGCATCTTCCCCTGTGGTCCTATTGGGTCACAAACAGGTTGACCTTAAATGTTTTACAAGTGCAACGCAATGTTTCACAATAGAGTCTAAACTTTTAGTTGAGGACATACAACAGGTAACATTTACTTCTAAGTACCTTGTACTCTTCCAAAGCGTTTGGGCTGACTCCACTTAGAGATGTTCAACTTAAGCACCTTCACCTTGCAGCTGTACTCGCCTGGAGTCTTTTTGACCAGGCAATGGTTCTCAGAGGTTGCTATTCCCAGTCGATTGTTATCTTTGTAGAAAAAGTAGTATACTGGAGGGGCAGGAGCACGGGCATTGTATTGGTGGTGACAGATGAGTTTCATCATATTTGGAGTAATCCGGTCACCCATTTGAACAATCTGCAAAACTGGCTCCGACACAACCTCTGAAATAGAGCAGCAGAAGAGAAAACATTACTGACAGACAGGAACAGTTCAAAATCACTTCTAGAGAATAATTTCTTCCCTGTTGTAATTGCCAGTTTATTGGGAAAATAGGAACAGTTTGACATTTCGGGAAAGCTTATTGTATTTACTTTTTTGCCAAGAGTTACATGAGAAGGTTGATACCACTCTCATATTTGTACACAAAAACATAGCTACAGCCAGCAGCAGGTTAGCTTAGCTTAGCATAAAGACTGGAAACAGGGAAACAGCTTACTAATTAACACATTATATTTAAAGTAAGTGGATTTTATTACTTCAGACAGAGTCAGGCAAACTGTTTGTGCTAAGCTAATAGCTTTATATCTGCCCGTCAGTGTAAACACAATGACCCCCCCCCAAAGTGATCCCATCCAAGAAACCTCTAGAAACCACTAAATCCCATACACTGGTCCTTTCAGCTGGCTGTAGCTACATGTTGAATGGAGTAATATAACAGTGGTATCAGTCTTCTCATCTAACTTGAATAAGTGCAATTCCCAAAATGTCTAACTATTCATTTAACATGTGACCTGCAACCACAACCAAACTCAGCATGTAACCCAGTATATAGACTCACCTAAGACCTGCACTGGAACGCCATCTGAAATTACAGAGACTGTCTGTCTCTCTATATCCCAGGAAGCCCTACAAGAATACACTCCATTGTCCTCAAGGCTCAAGTTGATCACGTGTAAGTGTGGGCTGAGGCCCTGTTGCCTCATAACTTCAACGCCATCTCTGTACAGAATCACCTCAAGAAGTTGGGGTGTGCCTCGGACATGACACGTCACATTCAAGGTGTCTCCAACAAGACAGTGATGAGGTGGGACTCGCAGGAGAGCCAACCCACCTGAACAAAGAGATTGCAGATTAGAAAGAAACCACGAAAAAATATATTATTGTCTTATATGGACACAGTGATAAAACATGCATGTTTGAGATGTTTTGTGGGACAAAAACATGCAAATATGTCACTTTATTTAAAACAAAGTGCACAGGAAGCGCCATACAATGCAGGGCAGCAAGAGTTCAGTGATTTACCAATTTTCTGTGTTAACAGGAGTACTACAAGTAGGAAAAGCAAGAACCCCTGTCTTCTTGCTTTTCCTACTGACATCCTGACATGCAAATCAAGATTTTCTACTGATAAACAAGATCTTACCATCCACTTTGATCTCCAAAGGCTGGCTTTTGAGGGTTTGTATGTTTCCCACCGCTGTGTCCCTCGTTCCCTGGCAGTAATATTTACCAGTGTCTTTAACTTTGGTTTTCCACAGAGTGAGGTGCTTCCCACGCTGTGCGAGCTGCTCAGATTCCTTGAACCACAAGTAATCCCAGTTGGACTTGTGGATATCTTCAATGTCACAGCTCAGCCGGACACTCTCACCAGAGAAGATAATTGAATGCCCTGACACTAGCTCCACTGTAGGTATCAATGAGCCCACAGGAGGATCTATGGAGACAAAATATGTGTATAATATATATTATGTAAATAGGGAGGAATATTGTATCTGTATACTTTCACTGTAAAAGTGACATAAATGTTAATGGTCAATTCATCTATGTTCTTAATTTTTAAATTTGGATCCCCATTAGCTTCAACCGTATTAACACAGTATGAACACAGCATTAATAAAAAATATGAATAAAATGCAAAACAAGCTAAATATAAAGCTCAATCTACAATGGAAACAAAAAACAAAATGGTCACAAACAAATAAAATCTGTTTTCATCACAGTTTTTTTGTGTATAATTGCAGATGACACTGTGCATAAATAATAGAAGACTAGATTTCAATTTACAACACATAAACATTACGTGCAGAAGTGTTCGATATGTTTGGTACATACCAGCAAGTACTACAAGCTGTGGTACTGTTGAAAGAACTGAAAAAGGAAAATAAAACAAAGCATAAGAGATGAAAGTCGATAACAATATTTTAAACACAAGGTTAAATTTGTGAGATATTATGAATGAACTGAAGGAAACTCACCAAGGAAGCAAATGACTCGGTCCATTTTGGTTGCTCTGTTTGTGAACTGAGACTGAGGGAGATTATTTTATTTCAAATAAGGAGGGAAGTGAAAACGTTTTTTTTTTTTAGCTTGAAACCATCCCACAGGATATCCCCTTTTTCAAAAAATTACATTTTCACTTCATTTAATTTTTTTTGTTCAATCTGCAAGTATACTTTTCTGGGAAGCGAGAACAGGAGAATTGTGTTGAAGAGTCAGGTGGATCACAGTTACGAAACTACATAATGTACTAATACATTTAGGGATTTCTGTGGGGTTGCACGGATTGCAATTTATGTTTACTGTAAGTGCTTAAGTGTTAGTGATGCTGTACAATACAAGAATGTAATGGAGTGTGTGTTCAAGTTTCTGATACTACACTATGACCCCATATGTTTCTTTAATGCATGACACAGCATTCCCCTTTGATACTGATTGGCCTGCTGTTGGTTTTGTTCCTGTTTGTATATCATAAAAAAAACAGAATGGGAGATTTACAGTATAAGGAACCTTTGCCGTTTGTTAGAAAAGTGAATAGAAAATATGTTCTTTTAATGTTATATAGAAGTATTGATCCATTCATTTGCACTTAATTTCTTTGACCCCATCAGATGTCTCAATCCTGGAAATTGTACAACCAGTGAAAAACAGAGAGAAGTGAAAGCAACATATGCTTCTGCAGAATTCGGAGTTTCAGTGGGTAAATAAATAGGGGAAGTATAATTAAACCAATTATAATATATAGTGTGGAAAAAGGACTAAATAAATGCATATTCAATTTAAATTTTAAACCATTCTTTAATGTGGTAGAGGTATTTTTTGGCATTGGACTTAATCATATATGGAAATCCTACTAGTTTGGTGTTTTTCTTGTGTCTGCTGTATTTTCAACATTACTCTTAAAGAATGAGTTTAAGTCACTTGCTTGTTAAAACTACATCTTAAAAAAACAACTTACATGCATATATATATATATATATATATATATATATATATATATGTACACTGAAAGAGTAACGGATTGCTGTAATGTTTCCTACTGTTCATACCAGCTGGCTCTCTTTCTAAAGCATTTTCAATATAGTGATGGGAGACTATTTTGTACTGTGTTTCTATATTTAAAAAGTAGACATTGGAGAGTGTTGACACAGAAAGAAACTTAATTTTTCACATGAAGTTCTGCTGAAATCAGATATGAACTACGAACTTTTATTTCAATCCGTTTCACTTCTCCACTGTTCTACAGAATTCTAAGGGCGTAGGCTTTTTTTAATCCTAGCTTGTGAAATCATGTTAGAAAAACACTTTGGACAGGAACTGCACACAAGTGCACGTGCATTTTTAATTTTTATTAATCTGCATCACACACCCATAGATGCAAATAAACCAATACTGCCCCAATAAGTTACATTTAAATAAAAGACAGTATTGAGTTACTTTCTCCCAAGTGATACAATAACAAACCTATAAGGTTACAAAGATGATGTTTTAAACTTCTTTAAAATACCTGATAAATGGCTTCTGCATACAGTGCAATATGGAGTTATTCAAGCTATTGTTAAGGTTTGCATTAAAAGTCTCCTCAAACTAAAACTGGACAGCAACTTCACACAGACTATACTGTTGCAAATAAGAACAAAAAGATTCAAATCTAGGTAACAAAAACAAACACAACTCTCCCAAACATTTCTTACACTACAAGACTGCCAAAGACAGTTGACGTACGTCTGTGTAGCAACAGCCCACAACACCAACCAATTATCCCTTCAAATGAATATAACCAATAATTTCCTTCATTAAATGTACTTATAAATTAAAAGCTTTAAAATCAAACAAAAGAAAAGTGCTTCAAAATAAATGACATTGGTCATGTTATGTTGATTATTCTGCGCTAGCAAAGCAACCCAGAGTAATTTCTATGTCTTGGGAAACAGTGTCGTTGTCTTCTTACCTACTTAATCAAAAACAATTTTTTTTTTTTAAATCCTCCAAATCATCTTAACAGATTTTTTTTTTTTTTGATAGGGCATGCTTAGGACACATTTTTGAGAAGATAAACAAATAGATGAAAATTTGACTATTCAATCATTAGAATTCATGTAACATGTCTTCAAGCAATGTTCTTTACTACTGTAAATATTACAGGATTAATATTTCCTATTGCATCCAAAAGAATTGATATCTGCCACTCTATAGAAAAATAAAATCACTTCTGTCCATCCAGCTTATGACTGGAGTGAAAACAAGACTACAATATCCATACACACGCAGCTTTATGATTCATCGACACTAACGGAACATGTCCATGCAGCACCCTTATATTCTCTCTCACACGCACACACACACACGCACGCACGCACATGCACACGCACACACGCATCTCTTTCTGGATATTTCTCTGCAGGACAGGGAAATACACAGTAAATGTAGCACAAATCACAAGCATGAGCTGGAGGGTTATTTTAGTATGGGGAAGGTAAGTTCTGCAATATTCTGATTTCTCAATTTCCTTTTCCAAAAATCACATATTACTGATAATTCCTGTTATTCGTGTTATTAGAGGTTACTTGGGCAGTATGGTTCTGCGTGTCAAGTTGATCCTCCACTTGTTAATTTACATCTGGAGACATCACAACATAGTAACAAAAACCTGTGAATAATGACACAAACATGTTTACAAATCACATCCAGCCATTTATCACGTCTGAAGAACAATGATAAGGATGAAGAAGTACTGAGGTACTGAAGATGCCATTGCGGGTGACCAACAGATGTGTTCAGGAAGAACTTGGAGTGGAGTCAGCCAGCTCCTTTACATTGAAAAGGAGCATGTTGAGGTGGTCGGGGTATCTCGTCAGGATGCCTCCTGGACGCCAAGGTTTCCCTGCACATCTCACGTTGGAGGAAGCAGCAGTAAGAGCATGCCGCAGATGCTGCACTGGATCCTTTACTTTTCATGCTTGGAGTGTACTTGCCCTCGGTGGCTGTCTCTGGGACTTTTTGGGAAACATTTATTCACTTTCTTGCTGAAAGTTAGATGAGAAGATTGAAACTACTCACATGCCTGCGAGATGTAACCTTTGTACAAACTGTGTTTATTTGTGAGCCTTAGAGACGCTAGTAGGAAGATTTTTGTTACTAGACATTACTAGCCCCCGCATTTTTTGCCTTTATGCTAAGCTAAGGGCTAAAGGTTCACATTTACTTTACAGACATGAGAGTTCTTATTGATCTTCTTATCTAACACCGCAAGAAAGCCAAAGTGTGCTTCCCATATTCTTTTAACTCAATAGTTCTGTTCCTGCTCTGTGTAGCTCCGGGGCCTCTACACAATGGATAGATGGAACAGAGATGGCCGGGGTGGAAATGGGCTCCATATCGAATGCTGCTGCTGTATGTGCATAGGGACAGCAAAGTTAAACAGCAGGGTAAAGAAGGAGGTTGGAGTAAAGCCTCTAGAGGATTTTTATCTTCATGTCTTCATGTCAACCAGCAAACACTTGCGGTTGCAGTGGTGGCGGCAGGAGCTCATTCTCAACGTTATCAGCGTCAATTGCTGATGATGCGGCAGATGTTGTCCCACTGGCTGTTGTGGCAGAAGGATTTTGCGTCTCTGGTGGAAAGCTCTCCAGAACGCTCTGTACCTTCTGCTCCACTTCGTCCGTCCAGTCGATGAGATCGCTCTCCAGCTGGCGAGCCTTCTCCATGACCCGCTCCTGCCTTTCTCCGAGCCCTGTTAGCATGTCCAGCCGTTTGTGGACCTGAGTGAGAGCTGTGCTGCCTGGGGAGCTTGAGGAAGCTCCAGTGGCCTGTGGCCAGTGGGGGGATGCCTGCCCTGACATGTAGAGCTCAAACTCCTCAGAGCTTAGGTTCAGAGACTGGCCGTCCAGCTTCTCGATGAAGGCCACTGCACAGCACTGGGGAGAGAGGAGGTAGAGGGTCATTAAAAGAAAGTCTCGCCTATTTGTGTCATCAGTCTTTTTTTTCTCTGCATTTTTCATTTATTGGACAGTTGAGAATTGAGACAGACATTAAAAACTTTGTAGATATTTAATGCCAATTGGAGTGGTGAACATGACCCATTTACACTAACAAAAATATGAAAATAAAGCTAGTTCTTGACAGAAAAAACAATAAGAACAGCATATTTTCAAGACTTTAAAACATTTTTTTTAATATAAAACACTAGTGAGGCACCTGGATTATGGCAGTACTCAGCTGACTCTTAACATGAATTTATATACGGATATAAGATGGATTTTTTAGATGACTTGGACTGATACCAAAATCTACCAATTACTTTTACTCAGACTCAGACAAATGCAAGCGTGTACTGATATTCTCACCAGGTTAGTGAAGTAGTAACCATCCTCTCCGGTCATGAGTCTGCTGGGGTTGCTGAAGCGGGTGATATACTGGATGTTGGACTGCAGTCGTGGAGGGTTAGCTTTCAGCACAATGTAGATGAGCGTCGGGAGAAAGTCATCCGCAGAGGCAGCCTCTTTCTTGCTGATTTTAATGGCGTTGAAGATGTGCTTGCTGCAACGGGTGACGCACGCCAGCTTGTCCTTGGGCACGCGCTTCGAATCCATTTCAATCACATCTGAGATTTGAGAACACAACAAATTGTTTGTCTGAAGACCTTACTGGATCACCAAGATAATTAGGTGATGTCCTTCTGAAAATTACACCTAATGAGACTTACCTGTGATGGCTTTGACTACACTGTCAGACACCTCAGGGATCTCCTCATTCACAGGAACACACAACATCTCAATGGTGACCCAATGCAAGGCTCTGTAACAGCACCCAATAACAATTTAAGTAACTCTCAGATGTATTCATTTTACCTGCAATTGTGTTGCAGTGAGATTGACTACTAGAATAGCAAATTTAAGCATGATTACAACTTTTGTTTGCTCACCTGATTCTCTTCTGAATGACCAGGTCTTTCTTCTCATCATCTGTGGTCTCAGGACAGAAGACCTCCTTGTAGAGACGAGTCATCATGTACTTCTCTACTTCATCCATAACGCTCTCAACATGATCTGATGAACCTTTGACCACGGAAGCAGAAAGATAGAGAGCAGACATTATTCACTGTACAATGTTAGTGATAGTCGCTGTTATTAGCTGATGAGTTTACCTTTAAACTGGGTCTGGAGGCGGTCAGAGAGGTTCTGGTAGAAGTCCTGCACACACTCTGAGAGCTCATCAGCACCCATGTCCTGGAAAAGGAATGAAAATTAACAATTCAGAGGAGATTTAATTGAGTTTCAGCATAAAATACACTAATGTACAAGGACAGACATCAAAATCAAGCCCAAATATGACAAAGTGATATATTATGCATACTTTTGGTTTTACTTATATCAATTTAAAAACAATTTTGAATGGAAAAATACTTAATATCCAACTAACTGAATTTATAAAAACTTCAGCAATGACTGAAGGAGCGTAATTCTTCATTATATATTTACAAATACTTGTTTTCACTTGAGGCAACAATGTGTGACAGTCAGCATCGCACAGGGTAGTATTCAAGGTTTTGCTAGCTGCACAACAAATGTTTACTGCACAATGATATGCAAAAACTATATGCACCATGTTTTTATCATTTGAGTTTAAGCAATTTCAGCTAATTTAATTCAGTGATTGTGACGTTGGAAATGGAGAAGACTCCATGGAAGGCAACCTCTGGCGTCTGTAGATAAAAACAGCTCATTCTAAGACAACAAAAACACAATTATAAGGCTCATTTCACACAAAAAACAAGATGAATAAGCCACACAAAACTCACTCGCTTATAGACCATGCTCTCAGTGAAGGCACGGCACTGTTTGAAAATCTCTCTGCCAGACTTCAGAGGTTTGAGAAAATCAATGAACTCTCGCGTTGCATGGTCACTGTCCACAGAAGAATGACGGCTTGAAGAGGAGCTGGGGCTTGGGCTGGACTGCGCTTCAAAAGGAGAAGCATCTGGGGGAAGACACCGAATGTTACTTTAATTCAGTTGTACTGCAACTGTTTCTGGCATGCGTCCCCTTCAGAAGTAGAAAAAAGTTTATGTCACACAACCCACAGTTTCTAGCAATCAACAACAATGATAGAGGAACCAAAACCTATTTAAAAAAGGATCCAAGTTGAATTTTAGGGAAATAAACATCAGCACAATATCATCAGCAAACTCTATATAAATCATATTCATTCAACTTTGTTCTGCTCTTTGGTCATCCACACTATACCCCACACTTTGAGAACCACTGCTTTATATAAATGCTATAAAGACTTACAGTCTTAGTGGGTTACTACCTAGGGAAGTGGCTGAACTAAAAAAAGAAGAAAATATTATTGAGCAAACATTTCTGTGACTTCTGTTGCTCCAGTAAAACAGGAAACCAGAACCAGTTATGCAAGAAATGCAGGCACAGAAAAGATTTTAATCAAAACATAAAACAAAACTACTAAAGGATACAAATGTCACTACCACTCAACCTTAACAATAAAGCTATGATAAATAATCATTAGCAGCTCCTGCAGTCGATGATGTTTAAAAGTATTTACCTTTTTTGGGGGGTGTTTTGGTGGAAGGAGTAAAAAACTTTGTGACTGTGTGGACTTTGCTGGACTTTTCCTTAGTTTTTCTTTCCTCAAATTTGCTGAAGGGTGTGATGGTAGATTGTGATTGGGCCTTCTGATGTCTGCTTGCGTACGCTTCCTCTTCCTCTCTCTGCAGCCTGGGAGGGAAAGCACAGTACAACTGTAATAGACTGTAACAGATGTCACAAGGACAGACGGACGAAAGAAAGCCAATAAAAGACGAGGTGACAGTATTTGCATTTTAGGAGTCAGACAAACCTCTCAGCAAGTGCCCAGTCTTCTTTAATCTGTTTTTGCTTTTCTTGCTGATTTTCCTCTCGCCAGCACTTCGAGCACAGGCCCTGCCAACCAGTGTTGCCATAAAAACCACATCCCTTCTTGCAAAGCAGCTCTGATTGGTCCAGATGGATCCCACGCCGCTGGTTCATCATTCTTCACAGTAAAGAAGACAGCTGGAGGGAACCAGAAGAGAAACAATAACCGTGAGTACACCCAGGAACAGTTTGGCTCATTGATCCATTAACGTTACATTTGTTTGTTATCAGCTGAAATCTCACCACACGTTTTTCACTATGAGCTAATTTGACTTGAGAAGTTTATTGTAGCATGGTCCAAAAAGTTAAAGTTGCTCAAGGCCCTGGCTGACTTAGATTTCCTCTTTGGAGGCAAAACATCTGGTGAAACGTCTCCAGCTGTGGACCTGATCTATTTGTTCGCATTAGCCAACAGCCAGCAGCTGATCGGACACAGCAGCAGCTCTTAAACAGAACAACCATCTTATAACTATATATATATAAAACCTTCCTATCAGTTTGAAAGACGGCCACACTGTCAACAAGCTAATCTACAGCTAGCTGCCAGTGTTTACCTCAGCTAATTACAGAGCTAACCTAGCCAGCTAAGGTAACTCGCTACATCAGCGTTACGTTAGTGACAGCGCTCTACGGTGGCGTCGTGGATTTTGTGTCAACATACGCTTTCATTCGTTGTGTCAAAAAGCTATCAGGTAACCTTATCTTCGGTCCAGCTTCCAGCTACTGTCGGTGGATGTTTACACTAGCTAAGCAGCTAACTTTGTCCCACAGCCATCTTGTTAGTCGGTTTCTTCTTCTCTGGTATTTTTTAGGATGTTACACATTAGAGGTTGGACGCCGTGTCGCCCCCTAGCGTTAACATGTGGTAATAGCGGGTATTATCCCTCAGATTTGTAAAGAAAGGACATTGTTAATCATTCTTAATAATTTGATATGAATAACGACGTGAAGACTTACCCCTGTCAGTATGAACATGTGATTTTAAAAAAGCTGTAAGGCTCTTTGTAAAGATAAACAAACTGTTGATGGCTGTGGTCCAATGTTTGATTTTGAATTTAAGTAGTCATGGTGAAGTGGTGGAGTACAATGGGTGATCTTTATCAAAAGGGTTTACCATGTTATTATCATCAATATGTGCGTCACTTTTTTTTAAATCTGAAAAACAAACAGCATATTAACCTACAGTAAGCCAGTTGTTAGATTTTATGATCTCATGCGCAGTATTGGTGAGCAAACACTTGAAAAATCAGCTGGAGAGGAATTTAAATTGTGTTCGTATTTTATATTACTTATTCAATCTTACACATACACCTTTTAATCCAATACCAGGAAATATTGCATTACAAGTAAAAGTTCAGGAGTATCATTCTGTACTCATTATGCAGCAGAATGGCTCCTGTTTGAGTTATTTAATTATATATTAGCTATATTATTGCAGCATTTTAACGTTGTAGCATTTGACAGTATAAATACTGCATCATATTTATGAGCTGCTCATTTCTTAAGGGAAATCTTTGCAATTAAAGTAATACAAAAACTAAGGAAAAGTCCAGCAAAGTCCACACAGTCACAACGTTTTTTACTCCTTCCACCAAAACACCCCCCAAAAAAGGTAAATACTATTAAACATGATCGACTGCAGGAGCTGCTAATGATTATTTATCATAGCTTTATTGTTAAGGTTGAGTGGTAGTGACATTTGTATCCTTTAGTAGTTTTGTTTTATGTTTTGATTAAAATCTTTTCTGTGCCTGCATTTTTTGCAGAACTGGTTTTGGTTTCCTGTTTTACTGGAGCAACAGAAGTCACAGAAATGTTTGCTCAATAACATTTTCTTCTTTTTTTAGTTCAGCCACTTCCCTAGGTAGTAACCCACTAAGACTGTAAGTCTTTATAGCATTTATATAAAGCAGTGGTTCTCAAAGTGTGGGGTATAGTGTGGATGACCAAAGAGCAGAACAAAGTTGAATGAATATGATTTATATAGAGTTTGCTGATGTTTATTTCCCTAAAATTCAACTTGGATCTTTTTTCTGCTTCTGAAGGGGACGCATGCCAGAAACAGTTGCAGTACCACTGAATTAAAGTAACATTCAGTGTCTTCCCCCAAATGCTTCTCCGTTTGAAGCGCAGTCCAGCCCATCCCCCAGCTCCTCTTCAAGCCGTCATTCTTCTGTGGACAGTGACCATGCAACGTGAGAGTTCATTGATTTTCTCAAACCTCTGAAGTCTGGTGTGCTGGGCCTTCACTGAGAGCATGGTCTATAAGCGAGTGAGTTTTATGTGGATTATTCATCATGTTTTTGTGTGTTTATGTGTCAAATGAGCCTGTATGAACCATATAATTATTCTGCTGCACTCACATGGATTCAGATACAAGACTGCAAACCGGAAGTAATGTTAGTGAATGAGAGCAGGACGGTAGTGAGTAGGGAACCATATGGAGTGTGGACTAGTAGCTGAAGAGGTGCCAGTTTCACCCTTGAGCAAGGCACCTAACCCCAAAACTGCTCCTGGGGCGCTGCTAATGTGGCAGCTCATCCCTCCACCATCTCTCTAGCTGCACATGCATGAGTGTGCATTTCAGCCTGTGTATGTATAAAATAAAAAAGAGTGAAAAAAATAAATCAAATTAATAAATTACATAAAATAATTCAACATATCAACATAACACATCCGTATAATATTGATTATTATGTTTTTTGATCGTCTATAATCACCTGAATATAGAAATCTTTGTGTTTATACCGACTGACCACCAGTGTGTATAATCAGTGCAGATGTGCCCATAAGGAAAGTGTTTGGGGGTCGTGGGGGAACTTTTCCAAAGAAATTGATGCATTGACTGATTGTGTGTGGGTCTGGTGATAGTGAACATCAGTGTTGGGGAAGTTACTTTTCAAAAGTAATTAGTTACAGTTACTAATTACTTCTTCCAAAAAGTAACTAAATTAGTTACTGTTGTATATTAGGTTGCGATGATGTGAAGATGTGTTGAAGAGAAGTCCGCTGACACCATATTGATTGTATATAAAGGTTTATTACAAAAAGGTACAGCATCATTTCAAGCCCCGGGAGCTTGGAGAGCATCCTGCCAAATGAACAACTCTGTCTATTTTGCATTGAAAATAGGTTTATATAGGTCTGTTGTTTACTCCAAAAATGGAAAGAAACATCTGGTTTAGCTATCAGATGTACTGAAATAAGGGGAGATGGGGGTTTTCAAGGCAGAGGTCAGAGGTCATTGAGAGGCCCCTAACCTAAACACTGCCTAGTAAGAATTACGATGTTGAACCTCATGTCTTACTAACACTACATATGTTAACAAAATATCAGTTGAACTTATACCAAACTGTAACTTAAATTTATAGGCCTTCGGATACCACATATTCCCCCCTTCGAGGCTGATAAAGTTTCGAAAAACAAAAGAGCAAAACATACATGTTTAAACACTTAACAAAAATAACAATTCCTCCTACACATGCTTCTTGCAGCATACCCATAACAATACAGCAACTTTATGGAGTGCGAGAGCGAGAAACCTGTCCGGCAGCTTTCTTTCCAAAGTATCCATCAAACAATCTAGACAGGAAAAATTCTCTCACGGCCCCTCTGCCTCAGGCGACCACACATAGTACTCCAGATCAATTAAAAAGAAGAATCTTAACAATTTATTTAGAGATATGGTTTAAGCAAATACATGTGAAAACCTCAGGAAATAAAATCAAAACAATGTCCAAAGTCAGGCTGGTCGACCCATTGTACCTTCCAATGGACCTGTCCCTGCCTAGACCCCAATATCCCTAAGCATCAACAAAAAAAGAAAAACATCTGAGGTCCCCATATATTTACCTGATAACAGAAAACATCATTCTCCAAACAGTTAATACAAAAATAATATGATACAAATTAAGTATTACTCATGGAAATATGTATATATCAGAGAAGACATAAGAATGTATCACACTGCAGCTCCTCAGTGTAGTGTCGATGATGTGTCGAATCTGAACATTTTATCACCATATCCTTGTTCAGAATTTGCCAGTCCATTCTTATTGTCCATATTTGAATATCTGAATCCCTTCTGCACATTCCCCCAATATGCTCTGGAAGAAAAGAAAACACCTACCAGTATCTTTTGCAAAAACAAAACATAAAAATTAAAACATCAAATACAAATTAATATGAATCACAAATTCATATTCCATTATGAATCACATTCCATTTCCCCCCTTTGCTGAATAAGAAACTAAATACCAAAACAATAGCAAAATAAATGTGAAGATTATAACACAATTAGATATTCAAAATGGATATTTCTCCATCAATTCACCTTCTAGCATTACTTCTTCATTTCAGTCTACATCAGTCATATTTAACAAAGGCATCTGAGTGTGATCTCCAGGCATCACAACTCCAACCTATCTCAATATCATAGCCTTCGCAAAAGTCAACAGCAGTGTACAGAAACAAAACATCACACACAGTGATAAAAGAACCGCTAATAAAATCTGAACCAACACTTCTCCAAATGGTCCTAATTTATGCTGCAACCAAGCATTTGCAGACCATCCAGCTCCTTCCGACCGACCAAACGCATCCCTTATATTCCTCAATGCATCTATAACACTAGTGATATTATCAGAACTATCAGGAATCAAAGTATAACAAGCATCCCCGGTCAAGTTCAAAGCCACACATAGGCCACCTTGTTTGGCTAAAATATAGTCAAGAGCCATGTCATGCTTCAACAACGTCAGTCTGTGACTCCTTTGAGTATTTTACAAATATTCAAACCCTCATATAGTTTCATTCGCAAAACCCTGCAAAGTGTAGGTAATGTTATCAATGTGATCTGCCAAAAATGTCACACTATACCATTAGAATAATCCTATACCCCATGTCTCTCCTAGACTTATCCTCCAATGGTAGGACTCCAAGTTGTGAAATTGTGCCATTTCCCTTTTCACTCTATTTCCAGACAAAAGCAAGCTTCTGCTCGTACAGTTTTCACTTCCACTGAACCAGGGACTGCCATAATCTTTTCTCTTTGATCAGTTAAGTCTATATTTGGCAGATCCATCATCCAAGCACACTCTCTTAAGTTCATACAAATGCACTGGCACAGCCATCCAAGTGTCCAGCGCTGATTCTTGCTGATACTTCAACCATGATAAAGCAGTATATAGACATTTGACAAATAATTGTTCAGGTATTGTCTCTAGAATTGACGGCCCGGTCCTAGGTGATGGAATCCTAATCATACACGGGCACCTCCCATGAGTAGCCGATCTCAAAGAATGAGTTAACTGTTGGAACCATATATTTCTGCTTGCCCATCGGCCTGTAATCTGTAGCACTGAAGCATCAAATCCATATGCTTTCCATCTAGAATCTCTCTTTCGTAATGCATGCAAGTTTCCAGTCCTCTCAGTTTGTGTCCAACTGTCATCAAAAGTATCATGGTCAGTGGTCATGCTATCAGTCTGAGTCTTAATAAATGAATCCTTGGTAGTCCTCACACTTAGTGGTTCTTCAGTAGATGAGATCACAGTATTCTCAAATTTCTTATTACTACCGTTCTATTTCCATAATGGATTTCAATTACATTTGCAAATTCTATGGGCTACAGAGATATCGTAGCTAAATTCTAGGTTATATCTATAGTTTCTCTAAATACCTCAGATACTATCATTATTCTATCAGCGACCCTTTCCATGGTATCTCGCACTGTCCATCTTTCCTCCACAGCCTCATTTATAGGATTCCTAGCAGTTGTAAATTTAGAAATTATCCATATGGTCATTATAGATTTTAAACCAACTGAGGTCATAGCAGAAGTTGATGCACTCATGCTATCAGTCACTCCCAAAACTAGAAGAGTGGATGCTATCTTTTCAATCTCCACTCGAGGGGTTGTTGCTATGGCGATTCGCTCTTGAGCAGCCGCCTGTATTTGCACATCATTCAAATCTGTCGCCACAAATGTTATTTTGCGTGTTACATGCCCTTCCATACAGTAATTGTGCTCTGGCATGCACTGAAAAGATGAATCAAAATAACTACATATATATATTTCCCTAAATCTTCTCGGCTAACATTATGCATAAAAAGTGAACAGTCTTCTAGAACATTTATCCACTTTCTTTCATTAAATAAAAAATACTTCCTCTGATCGAAAGACACATCATCTACCTCAAGTCCTTTTGTGGCTATTTTCTACCCTGATTGTCTTTTCACACAGGAGGACTACTATCATCATTATTCCACCTAGTACATTGACATGGAAGCAGAACCCACTCTCCTAACTTTGCTCTAACTATAGTCTCCAAATCGCTTGGATCTGATCTTCTTTCGGACTGGTCTTGGACTTCTTGGTCTACTTAAACCACTAGGTTCTCTTGGAAGAACATCACATTTCTCCTGACATTATTCTTCAAACAGATTGTACATCTTACTATGACATAATCAATTTACTCAAGCAAATAGGATGCTCAAAAGCCATACTCTTTTGTGAATTTTCTTTTAATCTCCCCCCTTGCAACATGAGCTAACCCATGTGCTTCCTGAATCATCAGACCTAACAGATCTGGGGGTGCTATTTTCAATCTCTCATGGTTTCTCCACAAGCCTATGGAATGCTGACTAGCACCTCTGTCCACCCACAGCTCTGTATCTATGGCATGCTGTTAGGTCTTCCTTCTTAGTCTTATAAATCCTTCACTAAACCTCCACTATCTGGAAGTTGAATTTCCTTTATTTAAATCTAAGATCTAAGAATCCTAAGCAAAGGAAGCTAAGTTCAACTCTCCTCACTCTTTTTATTTATTTATTTATTTATTTTCTTTCGTTCTACAAGTCATTAAAGGCTGTTGTTGCCTCAGGAGTCAATCAAAAAGTCAGTCTTGTCAAAAGTCTTCCCATGTATGATATCATACAGGGTTGGGAGATCTCCACAAATTCACGATATTATTAAGTTTCAATACGCATTTTCTAGATTATCTAAAATTGTCTGGATATGGTCTTGACCTAATTTTAAAACCTCCAGATTATATGGCCCAAGTGCACTAATTGCAAAATGAGTTGCTTCTTTTCAAAAAACATCATCATTTTCTATCTAAAACAAAACAAAGACAGTGTCGGTTTGACAATTCCTTTTCATAAGAGAGCAGACTAAAAATTATCAACCTACTGAACAAATGTACCATACCATGGTGGCTACCAATGTACAAGGCCTTCAGCTTCAGTCACAGCTGCAGAATGAAACTGGAG